ATTATCAAGGCCCTCTTCTATTCATCTAATGATAGTGGTCTGGAAACCCTTTCCTTATTCCTGATGATTCTGAAGAACCTAAAAATAAAACTACGAATTTTGATTAATTTCATACAATTATTTGTCGAATTTCAGAGAAAGGCTAAATTAGAATTATTTTGTATTAGGGCAAAATTAGGTTTTGATAAACATTTTAGTTCTATGACATAGTCATTGTCATTGCTAGATTCAAGAAGCTGTTCTGGGTACTGCATGTCCTCATAAAAGAGGTCTGGTCTATTCTGCTAGATATCACACATAAGAATGTCATTGGCATCCTGGCTACACAATATGACATCAGCTGAGTTACGTTCGGATGGCACATGCTTCCATTGGTATGACCCTGTAAGCTCTTGTATTAAAGCGACTCTGTTCACAAAGATTTTAATAAGTGCAGTGATTTTCTAATCTAAACAAGAGAAATCATGGAATCAGTCCGAAAAATTACATTTTCTTTTTTAACATTTAACGATATCACTTTATCCGTCAATTTGGGTAATAGCAGTCACCTGACAATTACAATCTAGAAATTGATACGGTTTTCAGAGATTTGATAAGGTTTAACTTTAATAAGGTTTTAACTTGTGACTTGCTACGGAAAAGTCAAGCAGTTGGCAAAACTTGAATCAGTTGCAGACTGTTCTCTTCGGTCATTCTATACTTACTGAATAGTACATTACATTTGCAATATGTCATTCAAGTTGAGTTTCGAGAGCTAGAGCCTTTGTATGAAAATCGTGGTCCTTGTAACCACTGGCCTAGTTAAGCCAAGTGGATCAAACATCTTCGAAGTTAGTGAGAGAACATCTTGTTTGCTATAATTGCTAGAATAAGTAATAGTCATTGTAAATAAAAAGTTGTCAATCAGAGGGTTCCATAGAACACCAAGGGTTTTTAACATTCTTGTTGCTCATCAAAAGTGTTTTCTAAATTAGCATTAACCTTATTTTCAGACACAAGCAAATTTAGGTAATTTGCACACCATGTATGTAATTCCATTTTACCTAGTTTCAACAGATCTACTAATTAGGAGTGTAGAATTTTAGACTTTCAAGTGATGATTCTTCTGAAAGTATGTCATTAACATAAAAGAATGAGGGACAGTGCTAGAGGTAAGTTTTAACATTCATCTACAGCTAACTGTTTAAGAGCTCGAGTTACTAGATACGGAGCATTTCACATGTTGAGCTTGTAAGTTTACACTGGTGCATCAATACTGTCCTTCCATAGAATTTTGAGTAAGTCTTTTTGTTTGTGGTGGAGAACTAGAATCTTGTGATACCTTTTTTTTTTTTTTTTTTTTTTTTTTGGTGTGTGTGTGTATGCTTCCAGTGTGAATGTATAGCAGTGTTTTCTAAATCTAACCCTTATAGAAAATAATTCCTGCTGTGGAATTCTTCCTTTCAACAATCAATTCTAATAACAATTCTGATGTCAGGGCAGTCGAGACATTCTGAAACGACTCTTAAACATGTACTACTTTTGTTTGTAGACCCCATGGTGAGACAAATGGGAAGAATCATTTCTAGATCCAGATCCCTCTTCCATATACTTTAAATCCTTGTATTCTTGCATGAATTCTAAGTACAGTCATTGCAAGTTTGAGTTCCGGTCGAGTTGTTGCCTAACTTGATTAAGTCTTTTCTCTGCTAAATTTCTAGGCTTGCTGAATAAATTAGAGTCATTCGTGGGCATGCTTTCAATGTACTGAGAGAGGCCTCAGAGGCTCGATAATGAGTCTTATTAAAATGTTTTTTGCAATACTATAGTTCTCTTCATTGCTGAGTGCTGAAACTAGAAAATGAGTATTCTCTATATTCCAACATTTTTTCAGTGTTTCTTGAGTTTTTTTCAGTTATTTTACTTATTTTAGTAGACCACAGTATTTCGATTCATTAGTAGACCACAGTATTTTGATTCATGTGGTAAATTATGCACACCACCACTGACTATGAATCCAAAAGCCATTTTCTGGAATAATAAGGCTTTTGACATGCTGCAAACTTGACCTGATTTTAATAAGACATATTCTGCACCCAGTAATAAATCATTTTTCTTGGGTGTGTGGAATCCATAATCGGCTTGGGAAATATCTTTGGGGATCTCAGTATTTTCTGTGTGTATGCAGGTAAGGGGAATTATTCCTCCAATTTTTGAACAACAAACAAAAAACGAATCAAGTTCTTTAGAGAAAGTTTTCACTTTATTGGCAACTGGAAGTCCTCTGTTTATAATTTAAAGTAATATGAATTTCATAGTCCTGAAACTAAAGAGAAAACTTTATATTTCTAAACCCTAATTGCTTTGTAAAATAAGTTAACACAGTAAATTGTGAGCAGCTGTCAAAGAGAGTATTTCGTTCTATAAGTGTCCCTTTCAAAGAGTTGCAGATGGTGAGATAGCATTCTTATTTGTTGCTAATAGGCAATTAGAAAAGCTCGTCACTTTTCCATTTTAGGTTGGAGGAATATCCTCCCTGTCAACTATCTGCCCTATCATCTAGAGGTGCTTATTTAAAACAGAATTCAAAATTGATGACTCGTCCTTATGAAGCTATGTATGATGCTTTGAATGGCAAATGTTATTGTTTCTTAAAGGGTGGTTATCGATTCTTATTGTCTTCACTATTTTCAGTGAAAATATCAAGCACATTTTATTTGGTATTAAAATAAGCTTATTAAAAATGCAAGTTTGGAATGCATACCCTTTCATGCTCTAAATCATCTTGGATTTTATGTACATTTATGTTTTATTTTACTTCACATTTATTTTTTTAATAAATATTATTCAACTATTTAAAAACAAAAACTAAGTATATGTAGGTGAAAAAAAGGACAATATAAAAAACTTGCTCAGTTTCTATAGGTAAAATGCAGATGATTTATTGATAAATAAACAAAATTCCTATTTTCAAATTTAATCGGTCGTCATTTTCTCTGAAGTAACATTCTTTAAAATTTTCATACAGTTATAATTTTTAAAAACTTTAATTTGATATTTTTAACATTAAAATATTTGAAATATTTTGCTGGTAAGCATCAATTTGTTAACTTTTGTTAAAAAGTAGAACAGAAGTAAATTCTAGTGAAATAAATCTAAACAGTCTGAAAGTGAATGATGCTTTGATTTCACATCATTGTCGCCTTTAATAGTGAACCAATTTGGAAATCATTGTCATGAATTTTGAATATGTAAATTTCCATATATTTGTAATGAAAAGTTTTAATACGAATTTCTAATTTTGTGAAATAAGATGGCATGCAAATTTTAATAGGTTCAAATAGGTTCAATAATTATATAGGTTCAAATATGTTTAATAGGTTCAATAATTTTAATAGGTTATTCAAAAAATGTTCTCGAAAATTTCAAAACATTATATAAAAATAAAGAAAAACTTTTAAATAATTCAGGAAAAATATCTCAGTTTTATTTGGATTAAATCTGAATTTCAGATTATAAAAGAAAAAAAATCAAGGAAGATTAAGTAAAAAAGTAATGTCATCGAACATATGCCAAATTCAGTTGATATTACAAACCTAAAATTTTGAATGATAATTAAAAAGAACACACACAAAAAAAAAAAGCACCTTGCTTTTGTAATTTTCACAGTTGATATTTTGGCATAATTTCAGACACAGAATTGAAATCTTGGGGGTGGGGGAGGAGAATCAGCATGTCATTTCAGAAAAAGTCTGATTTAATATCAGAACATGTATGATAAAACAATCCTATATATTGTTGCTTTTTTTTTTTTCTGACACCAGTTCGTACGGGGTTCGTAGATTTGGTGTGAATAACGACGACATTTGATGGAAGTATCGAAACACACTTTATTTAGCCAATATTAATCAGGACAGCTCCAATAACACTTTTTACAGTCGTCGAATATCTACTGTAAACAAACTGGAACCATCAGCAACACAGCCTTCACACTGTAATAATGGTGAAGGCAATAATGGTAGACACAGCTTCACTGCAAAGCACCAGAGTACAGCTGCCGACTCTGTTCGGTCTTTCTCGGAACTCCACATATTCTCAAGACTCTCCACGCTACAACTCGCGATGTACTCAACGATACACAGAGCACAGCTCCCGACTCTTTGGTTCAGTCGTTCCCAGAGCTTAGCACTCTCTCTCGACGATGCACTAACTGCGATACACTAAGAGACTCTTCGATACACTCGACAACCCACTCAGCACTCACAGGCCCGTTGTCAACGGGTCGTCTCCGCACGGACTAACTAGTTATAAGACACACTAACTCGCCCTTTCGACGAGGCACTCTCTCTCTCTGACTGCGGACCACCAGGGTTTATATAGCTTTTGGCTTGTGTTCGAGAACATTTTGTGCTAAACCGGTAAGAATTCGTTCCAGAAGGTTCTCCATCCGTTCATGGTATGTCGCCAAATGGGCGAATTCTTGCCAAATGTGGCAATCTACTTCCCCTTGCTATTTTATGGCAACCCTAAACCTGCTTTGCGGGTTTAGGGTTATTCTATTTCTGCTTTGCGGGTTTATTCTATTCAGATGAGGGCATAAATTGGCACCTTGTTCTGTTTTTTGCTGATAAAGTTATGCTCTTTTCTGAATGAGGAATTCTGAAGCTTGTTAAATAAAACGTTTTCAAACAAAAGGGCCAATATGCTATTAACTGATCATTGTTCTTTATATAAATAAAGGATCTTTGAAGAGCATAGAAAAAGGGTGCCATAACTCATCAAACAAACTAGTAGCTTTATTTTTTTTTAATCATTGTGTATTATATTTCCTTTGTGTGATTTTACTGAAAATAAATAGCACTGCTAAAAATGTTGTAAATAAAAATTAATAGTTTTTCACTTATTTTTTACAGACGTTTAACGTTATTCTTATTCATTGTTTATTGTAATAGTTTAAATGAGAGAATTTTGCTTAAAAATCTTAATTATTATTTTTTAATTGGTTTCTCATCTTTTATTAGGAGAAAGAAAAGGACATTGCAGTAAAAAACCACACTGTGGCTCCATTCTTCAGTTCTGCTTTATCAGCTTTTGCTTTATTAGCAACTGCAGAAAAGAATTATGCCAATTTTATGTTTCTTGGACCAAAAGGTTTTCTGAGAAAAGATGTAAGTATTTTGATGCAGCAGTCTTATAAATATGAACTTCATATAAAATTATTAAATAGTAATATTGATTTATTTACTCTATAAGCTAATTAGAACTAGTATTTGTTAGTTTCAGAAGTTAATTAAATTAAGAGTAAGCAGATCTTTATATACTATTGCATATTAAAAAATTACTTTAAACAACTTTTTTAATTAAAGGATTACTTTAAACAACGGAACCTGAAAATAGGTAACATTAAGAGCATCAGTATTTGTAAATTATGATAGGCATATGACTGCTGTTGAATAATGAAAGTAGCAATATGTAAGTTCATTTTATTTGTTGCTATGCAATTCTCACTCCTTTTGATGTACTGTATTTGCTCTTAAAATTTGTACCAATATTTATGGGACACCCTGTATATCTATGTCATGTTTTGTTTGCAGTTTGTTCTATATCAGATTTTATTTGTTTCAAATTATTTGTAGTTTGTTTTTAACAGTTTTGAAAGAGAATAATGCAATTAAACAAGATTATCCTATCTTTAACTGCTTCTTCACTCAGTTGATGAAAGGGTAAATAATTCACTGGTTTTAATAGAATGATCAATGAACCAGTGGCTCTTTAGAGGATTGCATGATAAAGTCCCACATAAAATCCTAAGTAAGGAACAAAAGCTTTTTTTTAATCAAATGTGAAAATATTATTAATATGCATACTATTGCTGGGATAAACTTAGTAATTAATGTAGAAAAATAATTAAATACAGATATTGTAACTGTTTAAGCAGTGCTTCCATCTTCATTAGATCTATACTTATCTACAGTATGGAGATAAGAGTTTCTGCTGTTGCACTGCACTGCTAGATTTTGCTACCTTTATCTAAATGTAAATATCTTGGTGCTTTTGCATTTTCTCACAGTTAATTGTTTTGAACTTATGCACTAGTAAGGTTTGTTGAGCCAGCTTATAGCTTATTTATTTGACCATTTAGTCTTAAGACTATTTTTTTTGAGTTAATAATTTCTAATCAATAATTAATATCGATAATCAAATGAAACTGAAACACTTTGTCACATTGTGAAAAAACAGTGGCATAAAAAGCAGGGGTTGTTATCCAGGAGGAGAGTTTCATAGTTTCAGGGGGGGGGGAAATATCAAATTTTAAATGCATAATAAGCTGCCTTTAACTGTGAATATAAAATATAGTCTACAGAATATGTTTGCCACATTTTGCATGTATTATATAAAAGAAAAGAAAAATTATGTGTAAAGACTAATTTGAGTTTTATTTAATTGATTATGCCAAAAATAGTCATAAATATGAGGGTCACTTTGAAATTTTTTAGATGCACATAGGTTTTTAAAATTATACTTACAAAATTTTAGGAGTGTTCAAACTTCTTTCTTTCAGCATCAGTATACTTCTGTAGGCAAATTCTCTAAAGAATTAATGCCTCAAGCCATTCATTTCACGGAGTTAATGGCAAAAAAGGCATTTCTAACCTAATCAATCTCATCTTCAGAATGAAAACAACATCCATGTTGAGCTCTTTTTTAGATTAAAAAATAGCCAAAAGTCACATATAGCAAGGTCGGGTGATAGGGTGGGTTTTCTATAACTTTGTTTTTGTTTAAGAAAGTCAACTGTAAATCTTGCTGAATGTGAAGAGGCATTGCCATGGTGGAACATGAGTCCTCTAACACTCACTTCTAGAAGAACTTTTGGAAGACACTTAGTGGTGTACCAGTTAGCTGTGACTGTGATTTGTCCTTTTAGCTTAATGGCTTTGACCAGTCCTGTATTTGTGAAGAAAACGTCATATATTACTTTTTCCATGACACATTGTCCTTTCACCATTATGGGCATGAGATCATCTTCAAAGACTCATACATTACTTTCTTTACATGTTGGAACATCAAAAAATGATATGTATGTTTCATCACCAGTTATGATTTTAAAAATAATGTGGTGTAGCCACCATCTTTATGTCATTTAAGGGTTTCTTTACTGAACACTGTGTTCTGGTACACTCCCCTTTTTGATGCTGAGTTAAATTATGGGGAACTGAATGGCAAACTAGTTTTTTAGTAGCACAAGATTGATCTTCATTTCGAAATTCTAACTCTAGACATTGATTATCTTGATTTAATCCCACTTTAAAATCATAGAAAGTCAAAGCGCAATAATTTTCTCACATCGAGTCCATTTTTCCTTTTGCCTAAAGCTTATTCTACGCTAAATTACTTGCAATTGGCCAGTAAAAAATTGTATGCTGGGGTAAAATAGTCCTGCTGGGGTAAAATAGTATAATATTTTCAAATCCTAACCATTAATTTTTTTCTGCTGCATATCATCTACGCATATCTAAAAAATTTCAGAATGACCTCCATGTAAAGCTATTTATTTTAAATTAAATAAAGAGAGAAAACTGAATTAAAATATTTTTTCAAATAAATTAACTTACTGCAGTTTCAATTTTATTATAAGACTATAAAACTTGTATTTAGTCTAAAGTGACCATACGTCTCGATTTTGGCGGGACAGTCCCGATTTTTGGAGGACTGTTCCACGTCCTGCCGATTTTTAAAAATGTCCAGCTTTTTAGAAAACATCTGCATTTCGTATTTTAAATGTAGTGTAAAAATATATTATGTATTATTTATTAATAATTATAGTAAATATAAAGAAATAAAAAATACATAAATAAAAAAACACATAAGATGCATGCAGAGTAAACTAAATTAGGCGATGTAATGAGTTAGCTATACTCGGTGGTGTTTGATCATTAATGTTATTACGTCTCATCAAGGAATATGTATTGTTAACAGAGGAACAGCTAGCATTTGCTAAAGGGCTATTTGCTTTCGACACCATAAACCACAATCAAAGTTTCAGATCAATTAATTGTATGTCACAAATGATCAAAACATTGTACGACAAAAAATTTGCATGTGCAAGGACAAAAACTGAAGCAATTATTTGTAATGTTTTTTCGCTATATTCGTTTTCAAAATTGCAGAAAGAATTAGATTAAATGACATTTATATCCATATATTATGATGCTTCCAACCACAAAGATTTAATATTATTTCCCACAACTGTTAGACTTTTTGATCCAGAAACAGGAATTAAAATTAGAATATTAGATTTTGCTTCATTGCCAGGTGAAACTTCACAAATAATTTTTAATTCAATAAGCACTATTTTAAAAAATAATAATTTGAACAATAAAATTATTGCCTGTTTTGAGGATAACACTAACGCAAGTTTTGGCAGAAAAGCTAGAAGAGGTATCAATAACTTTTTTACGAAACTTAGCGAACATTTGAACCAATAAGTTATTCGAGTAGGTTGTGCAGCACACCTTCTACACAGTACTATTCAAACAGCATCTGATTTACTTCCAGTGGAACTTGAAAATATTAATCCAAAAATCTATTCGTATTTTTATATACTATATACACTGTGCGTGTTGAAAGTTTGAAGGATTTTTGTGAAAGTGCAGGATTTTGAAGGATTTTTGTGAAAGTGAAAGAATTAATGGTTACAGCAAAACACAATGGCTAGCTCTTTTACCAGCTGTAGAAAATATTTTTAAAATATACGAACCATTAAAATCATACTTTTTATCACAAGATAAATGTCCAAGTATATTTAGCAGCTCTTATTGAAATGACAAATCACAAATTTGGAATCAGTTCATCCACAACCAAGCTACATTATTTCACAATGCTGTGAAAATTATTGAAAGGGACAAAATTTCAATTATGGTAGTGTCAAATGAAATCAATAATTTAAAAACAAAATTGCGAGAAAGAATTGATAATGATTACGTTTCTTTAATTATTCGAAAGGGCATCACTAGGTTGGAAGAACAAGGTGCCATTAAACGACCTGATTTTCCGAAAGAAGTCAGAAATTTTTATAATAACTGCTTGGAATATCTTGACGAACAGACAATTCCATTCGAGGATATAAAAATTTTCATTGGGTGACATTAAAAAAAGGAGATTCTATAGGAATATTTGGAAAAATCTTTTTTTATATGTTAGTAACCATTTTCCAAAAAATAATATTTGCAAAAATGATCTTTTTGATGAGGAGTAATTTTTAAAAAATATACGTTACTGAAGAAAAAATTAAATGTTCATTGTCTTGCAAATGTGGAAACAGACAAAAAAATGGACGGAGTTATTCCTTCATTTTAAACAGAATAATATTCCTTATGAAAACATTTTGAAAATTGTAGAACATGCGCTCTACCTTCCAGGAATAAATGCAGCAATAGAATGTGTTTTTTCTAGTATCAATAAAATGTGGACAATTGAAAAAACGCAGTTGAATATTAAAACTTTAAAATATGTATTAAGCATAAAATATAATTTGACCAATTCACGTGAGAAATTTCACGAAATTTTAATAAATGATCAGAATCTATTGCAAAGTATTCACTTGGATAAAAAATATGACCGTGTAAAATTTAAAATTAATTAAAAAACATAATATTCAAATTATAGTTTTTTACAAATATTGTTATAATTACAAATAGTTAAAATTAAAAAGTAATTGTAATTTAAAATTAAAAAGTAGTTTTTGTATATTTATCATAAGTAAATAAATGTATACAATAAAGTACATTTTTTTTTTTTTATTATTGGTCTGCTTTCATAACTAAACTACATTCCTCATTTCATCCCATTTGTCCCGCTTTGTCTCGATGAAAATGTGATCACTTTAATTTAGTCTGTTTAGTTGTAAAATTTTGTTTTATAACTAAAGTCTATCTAATTATAAAGTTTATCAGTATAATGAACAGTGGCTATTGGATTTTCCTTTCTAAAGCATTTTGCAATACTTTAGGCATGTATAATGAAAACAATCATTTCAAGACTAAACTTATTTCCAAAAATTAAGGGAAAATTACAAAAATAGTGATAACTCATTCAAAAATAAGACAATCTATAAAAAATTAGAATATGTTGTCAAATAAGAGTTGCTGTGTAAAACTGTAGTATGCAAATTAGTGGCATTGCAGTCAGGTTATGTCATCTGGGAGAAGGATAAAATTGTGTGTTTGAAAGCAAGCCTATAAATTTCTCTGTAATACTAAAATAAGAAATCCGGGATGGCTAATTCGTAACAGTGATCTCCAGGCATCATTTGCCTGAAGAACTGCAGTGGAGCACTATTAGAAGATAAAGTCAGACAGAAGTGACCAGATGGCTAAATGTGAGTACTGTGGTTCATAGATTTTGGCAACAAATTCAGCATCCAGGAGGTTCAGCCAAGGATGGCCAATTGCTCCGAAGAATGTCAATGACCAATATTTGTACAGAGAACAAAGGAATGCACACGAAGGAATAGAGCTGCAACTCCGACTCAACTCAGATTCTCCCTTGCTGCAGCCACTGGAAGGTTGGTGTCAATATCAACCACGCGTAGAAGGCTCCACAAATGAGGTCTCTATGGAAAGCAACCAGTTATTTGCATGCCGCTCATGTCATATTATGGAAGGGAACATTTGAGGTGGACACATGAACATGTCCACTGAACAGCGGATCAATGGACCTGTTATCATCCATGAAAGAGATGCATACAGAAGAGGCAGTGTCTATGTTTCAGGATGTATCTCTTTGGATGGATGTACAAACCTCCATGTCTTTGCACAAGGAATCATGAATGCTCAGGCCTATGGAGTTGATATCCTTGATTTTTTGTGTGCCCTAATACTGGGACAATAGGTGATGATTTCCTGCTACAGGAAGACAGTGCTAAACCCCCCCCCCAGGGCTCACATTTGGAATGATTATTTTCAGCAGCTAACAATTCAGCACATAGAATGGTCAGCTCAATCACCATCCCTGAATCCTATCGAGCATGTTTGAAATGCTTTAGGAACATGTATAGCTGCTCTCATTCCTACTCTTCAGACCCCTTGCTATGTTTGCAACTGCTTTGCAAAAGCACTGGCTCTCGTTTCCTGTGGAACTGATACTTCCTGTGCAACCACAAAACTGACAGCATCACACATCGCTATATATGCTGTATTGCTTTTAGGGAAGATCATTCTCCATACTGAAGGTAATTTCCCTATACCAAACTTGACTCATCCTGCCTCTTTGTTCATTTTATACATATGTTAATTTCTATAACACCATAATTGTGTAGTAATTTCTGTTCATGTTATTTTGTGCTTCGCTATGTGTTGTATACTGTGGGTCAGTTTCATTAAATTCTACATGTAACTTTTTGAGTAATCATGATTTTTGTGATTTTTCGTAATTAATGATACTTGGTATATTTTAAATTTGCTTCAGGGCCATTTTAAATGTTACTTAAAAATGAAGACCTAATTTTAGACTATGGATGAGGTTATTCAAATAGACAGCAAAAAAATATGTATAAATTATATTTTTCTCTTCATCAAAATCTAGAATCTCTGTAGTTGTGTAATTTCTTATTAGATAAACAAGTAAAAAGAGATTTTTCAGTTAATTATTATGTATGTTCTTTCAGATCAGTTTTAATATAAATTATTTCAGAGTTCATTAAAATCAATGTATGAAGGACTCATGAATGAATATCAGCGTCTTGAAGAGAGGCATTACATCACACCTGTATCAACACCTACTATGTCACCTTCCTCATCTTGTCGAACTCCTTCTCCATCATCTGATTTACCATCTCCATCTCTTCTTAGTGCATGCAGTGAAGTATCTAGCTCTGTTCCAAGTTCTATTAGTATTGGTAGCTCTGTCAGAAGTAGCAGCCATCCTTTTCCAACTTACTTAGGCGAAGATATCTTAGAAAATTTGGCAAGCCATTTATGTGGGCAGTTGTCAAGTTATGTTATTGCTCGTTTGAAGCTTATGGAATTGTATCCTTTTCTGCTTTCTTCATCTTACAATTCTTTAATAATGCTTTCATTTATAAACTTAGTTTTTTTTAAAAAATTATATTTTGAAATTATTAAGTTAATTGTATAACACAAGTGTATATAAAAATGCATATGTTTTTCACTGCAGGACAGCACATGCCAGACAATTTTCTTTAAAAAGTTATGTATGTCAACTTGGTACTTCTAAAGAGAAAACATACTTTTATCATTAATTCACACTGACTGCTGTAAAATTTTTCTGCACATAAGAAAAATATCTTTTGTTTAATTATTTCAATAAACAATAAAAGAAAGGAAAAAACATTTTAAATAAATAATATGGTATAAAAAACATTACCAAAAAATATTCAATAGAATTGACATTGTTCCAAAATTTGTTAATTCTGGCAGAAATTTCATAAACATTTTTCTTTTAAAAAAAATTAAAATAAGTTCTTGAGTGAGACAGAAAAATGCTGTTGGCAGAGCTAGAAAAAAAAAAAAAAAAAAAATCTGATGTGTACACCACATGACTTCCTTGCAGGGAATATTAAGTTGTATGCATTTTTTCCTGCATTTCATTTAAACTTATTGAATTGAATTAAATCTATTTCATCTATAGTGCATAAACCACAATGGAACAAAGTGCTTTTTAATTACATATTTTTTACCAACGCACACTGGCACTAGTCACTACAGCATACATATCCTCATTTTCTAGCTAGATCAAAAAAAATTATATCATCTGAAGAATATCTATCATTGTCCATGTCTATTCAAGACTACAATAATCTAAAACAATGTATTAATAAATAAACAAATAAAAGTAAACATTTTTCACCACGATTCAGTACTGCTTATCTAAGCATGTGTGCTGTTTCTCCATAACATTCCCTCTGGCCAACGCTGCGACAGTATTTTCGCTAATCTGAACCTTATTCCTCGAATTGCATTAGAGATGTCTTCTCCTCATTAATTCAGTTCTTGTTTCGCACCAAGCAAAAATGATAAGGACAAAAATGCTTCTTAAAATTTAAAGATATAAAAACATATATATATATTTTTTTTTAAACAATTAATTACGTTTCCTATGCAAACACATTATTCGGCGGCAGCAAGAAGACAGATTTTTTTTGGTGCACAAACTGAGTTTACTTTGGTCTCATCATATAAGACACTGAAGTATAGAACTGATTTTATTTGTGTAATTCTATTCTGATCATATAGGATCATTATACTTAAATGATAATTTCAGATAGATTAAGCATAATTTAATTCATAATATAAGAAGACGTTACTTTGTTGTTGCGAAGCATAATTCCTAGCTTGCAACAATCACTATTTGCTAAGTTTCAATGAAAAAACTATGGTAAAAAAAATTAGGCTTAGCCGCACTTAAGCAACTTTTAAATTTTTAATAATTATACAACTACAACATACAGGTGAACTAAAGGCTTAAAAACCTTAACCTATAAAAATAACATAATTCAATCATTTTTAAAGCAAAAAAAAATGCACAATTTACAAACGTATAAGAATAAAGGAACTGAGCTCACTCAGCTGAGTAACAGAGTGGGTATATATATATGCTTTTGTGTGGCCAATTGCAACAACCAAAAAGGGAGGTGCACATCTACATGTTATAGCAGTCCCAAATACAACATTTCAGCGTTTTGACAAAAAAATATTTTTGTTTAGTTATGCGAGAAACATACATATGTATGTACAGACCTCACGAAAAAATATCCCTTCTGAATCCATTTTAAATCAGTTTTATAATTCTTTGGGGGGGAGTCCTTTATTCTGTCCTTATGTACAGATGTCATGCAAGCACATTGTTAAATTGCATTCGATAGTGGTCAAAATGGATATTTTTTAGAAATATGATACCCAAAATTTTTCGCATTTACAATACTTCCTTTTTACTTCGTACAAGGCAGTAAAAGAGGCACGAGGGAGGAAATTCTCTCTAATTAATTAACACTAAGTCTGGAATTATACTTATTTTCATTTCTTATTTTGTTCAGGATTTCATAGGTGTATTGGAAAGACTTTCTGAATTCTTGTTTGCCTGAAACTTTTAGGGCACTTTGATTGCTTGCTGTTATAATTTTAACAGGCCTTGGAAAATTTCTGTGAGAATTCTTTCTAACTTAGAATGTGATCTGGGCTTCTACATCTACAAAGTAGTTGGCAACAGGCAGTTCCTACGCATGGAGTTATACAAAATATGTACTATTCCTTGCATAGGAACCTTGTGTGAAGGATTCTCAAACTCCCATTTTTCCTAGGAATGAAACAAATTTCTTCGGACCACAATGAAAAACCAAACTTTAAGAATGGTATTTGATTACAGGTCTTCTGAGAATTGCTATGTGGTCGTCAGAAGATAGCTGAAAACATTGCACTATGATGGAAATTTTGAAATTTCTCTATGCAGGGAAAATTCTTGTAGAATAGATTATTAGAAGCAGGGAACTATGCACACTTCTAATAACGCTTCATGTGATTTATCCTTTAGGAGATGGAAATTTTTTATTATTTGTTGTATTTCAATATTTAAATCACTTTCCAAATTCTGTCTTCTGTGTGGGAGTTTGCATTCTTTAAGTCTCCTGAAAGATTTAGGATAGTCTTACTGCAACTTTACTTTACATCTCTACATATCTTTAGGAAAAGAAATGTATTTCAATTCCACATGGAATAAGTTGTGCAATTATCTTCCTTTATCTTTTTTCTTTCTTTCCCCCCCCCCTACCAGTTAAGCAAATCTTTACATATTCTTTGAAACTCTCTTTACTCAATGTTAAAGAAAATTTTCTATGTCAAAATTTCATCTGTATGGTGAGCTGTAAATATAAATCATTCTGCATTGGAAATCAAATGAGGAATCTATGAAAAATAGAAAATGGATGTAACCAAATTGATTGATGTTTTCCATTAATACAGTTTATCCAAATATATGTATTTGCTACCCTGATAAAAAAATGAAGATATGATCATTTCTGCTCATGGAAAGATTGAGCATAAGAATGTAAAAGAAGCTAAATGCTAAATTGCTAAAATGATTAACCATTCATGAAAGCCTCAGTCTGATAATATCTAGGACAAAGCTAATCAAGCTACCAAATACTTTAGAAAGAGGCCATTTTTGTACTCAGATGGCTGGTTGTATATGTTGTAGAAGTGTATAATATTTCTTCCAAAAAAACTGTCAAAATATCATAGAATGCTTCAAAATTTGTTATCAAGGAATGGAGGGAAAGTATTTGGGGTAATTTCTCTAGAAGAAAAGAGGGGTGAGACATTTACAACACGGGCAAAACATTGCTGTTTTGCTAAACTAAATATTAAAATTTAAAGAGCAAGAATGCACTAAGAGAAAATTATCAAAACTGAGATTCACAACTCTTTTATATGCCAGTATAAATAATCATGAACATCGTAGGCTTTTGACGATTGGAAAGTTTCAAGGCCAAGTTGTTTTATAAATGTAAAAAAAAAAAAAAAAAATCTATTTTTTAAGCAACATGGCTTTTTCTGTAAAGCTGGTCTTAAACAGGTGATGTCAGAGATATGAAGAGCTATAAAAGTGAGAAGAAATTCTGACCAAAAAGCAAAGCATTCTACTGTTGAATAACAACTTTACTGCCCACACAAATGGCAAAAACTTAAAATGATTAAAGTTATTTTCTTGCTCCTGTATTTGATTCTGTGACTTATGGGCTGAAATATGTTTAAGATTTTAAAGTGTCATTATAGAAAGTAACTCATGTAAAGAGCTCATTTTGGAGAAGTATGACAACTATGGCAATTATTATGCTTCACTTCTAATGTAACATTAGTGCTGAAAAAGTGCTGTCCACTTTTTACTAAATCAACCATCTAAAATTGTTTTTGGCATACTAGTTTATCATAAGGCATTGAAGAGGAAGATGAGGATTTGTGTGTGACAGATTGGTTAGGGAAAAGTGACTTTTTAGTATTTCCAGTATGCAACATAGAGCTTGCAAAGACATGTGATTACATAATTATATGTGAAGATTGGCATGATCAAAAATTCTGCTTCATATGTCATAGCGAATTCTAAAACTGTGATATATAATAAGATTTTATTCATATAAATTTTAGAATAGAATGCGTTAGAGTCTCTGCAACTTTTGGACAAAAATATAGATAAAATTTCCTTGCAGTGTGCATTATGGCAGCAGAAAATTACAGAGGGAATTTTTATTTAGACACAAAATAGAAGTTAGAAGTAAATTATTTGATATTTTTATATTCATTTTAGCATTTTTATATTTATAGGAATAAAATGATTTTTTAGAATTGTAAAAATGGGTACTTTAGTAGAAAATATGTATTTGTTGAGGAAAAAGTCTGAATCGAGAATTTTATGCTAAGTAATTCATCATGTAAAATTATTAAGGTGTGATGAAACTGAAAAAGAATCATAAACGAATTTAACAATTGCACCTAATAATATATGTAATTATGTCTTTAAATGATTTTAAAATATTAGAGTTATTATTCTCCTCCTTTAGTAGATCTAACAATGATAATTAATTCTTTTGCAATTCATCGGTCAAATTTTTTATTTTTATTTATTTATTTATTTATTTATTGGTGAGATAATCTATTTTTCACTCTATATTGGATTTAACAAGTCGCCAGATTTATCAATTAGATACCAGATATTCAGTCCTTTCTTGTTCATCTCAGAATATGTTTCATAAAATTTTTCCTGTTTAAGTAATACATAGCCAGATGTTATCTAAAGTTAAGCATTCATCATCTTGCTAAATAAAAACTTTTAGTTTTGTGTTCTTAAACTCAACCTTAGTATTAATAGGAAAATGATATGTCATAAGGGAAGATATTTTGCTAAAATATTTATAAAAAGGAAAGGTATCAAATTGTCTCACAAGTTTGAATCTTAATTTCTTTGGATGGATATATGTTATCAAAGCTAATTATTATGAGCCAAAGCTAACTATTATTAATAATTAAATCAGTTTTCATTATAGCAAACTGTTGTAATAATATCCTTTTTCTGTTAGATACAGGGAACCATTATAAAGAGCATGAACTGTATTTGCTTTTGATATTTATACTGGAATGCCAGCCATTGGTGAGCTGTAGAAAACTCGTAGAGCTGTTTGATAAATTTATCTCTAAATTATGAACGCTTGTTCTTTTTGTTTGCTTGTTTATTTGTTCGAAAAAAAGGTATATCTTCCCTTTCATAATCATGCTTTGAAAATATTTAACTTTTATATTAAAATATGAAATAAAAATTAATTACTCTTTGTATTTTGTGAAAATAGCTCTAACAGGAAAACCCACATAACAGAATTCCTAATGTAATTGTAAAATTCCTAATCCTATTGGTAAAAAATGAAGGCTTTAGTGTAGAATTGGGTGCCCCTTCGACTGGTGACATTTTTTATAAAATTTTGGCAATGAAACCTCATTTCTGGTTACCACGATAGTTTTAACTTTGTTTTAGCTTCCCGATTTTATTTAAATGAAAATAGATTGATGTGTACATGGACACATTTAAGGCAGTGTGCAATGCCTAGTTTGTGCAATTCTAGGATGTTTTTAAGTAAAAAACAATTGATTGTACATGGACACAGATCTTATGCATCTTCGACTTCTTATTTTGGTTTTGTAGCGGCCATCTTGAAATTGTGACTTCCTGGCGCCGACCTTGGCATCAAAAAAGAATCGCCAATAAACAAGGGGCACCCAATTGTAAACTTTTACCAAAATGAAGTCAGAGGGGAGACTGTTACTATTAGTAGCACTGATACTAAACAAGCTTTCAGCTCAAAAACATCTTTGCTTATACAATATCAGAGATCTTTGATTATCCAGCAAAGTTCAGACCTAATGAAAACTTTTAAGAGAATTTAATTCTAAGTCTCCTATAAAACCTTTGAAAAATACCACTCACCCTTAGAACCCTCCTGAAAGATTAAGTGAAGTGAAAAATGAAGACTATAATGGTTAGCAACTTTAGGCATAAACTATGTGGCATATTTAAATTTACATTTTTTTAAATAATTTTCGTGCTATTTTGTGTTATTTTATTATATATTTTGTTTTTCTAAGCTAAAGTGCGAGTGCTTTATAGCTGACCACTGATGCCAACTATAATCTCATGAGAAAAAAGTTTTAGCATTAAATCTAATAAGTTTTCAATGAAATAAATTTGTCATAATAGTTAACCAACTGTACTTTCAAAACATCATATGTTATTAAAATTATTTTTAATTTCATTACTTTTAAATTTATTAGACATGTTTTACATAATTATTAACAAAATACTTTTTATTCCTTCATTCTTTCTTTAAATCTGAGGTACTAAAATACTGATATTTTTTGTTGGTGTTTATTAAATAGCTTGTTTTAATATAAAGCTGGTAAAACAAAGATACAGTTTTATTCAAATATGGTAAAAATACTATGCGAACATTGATATGCTAGTCATGTCATATAATTTTTAAATATTATAATAGATGCATGTTTTTATAGTGGTCAGAAAAACAATTTCTGTTTTGAAATCTGCCATATGCATGTATTTTAACTTAACTGTTATTTAGTTATGAGAAAATGTATGCAATGAGTTCTTCAAGATTTATGAAGTTTGATCTCCTGTTTAATTCAATATCTGAAATTATCAAAACTAATTTAAAACTTTTTCATCATCCAATGCTTTCTCCACTGAAATCCTCTTTTAGGTGAGAAATTTATATTCTTTCCTGTTTTTAATTTAATATTTTAAAATAATTTCATATTTAAGTACTGTTATTAAATAAAGCATGCATGTTTTAACTGTATTGAATACAAACCAGTCTCAGGTTGCAGACATGCCAGAATGGTGAGAAGTTGGAATTTTTAATTATTGAATGTCCTTTTTTTTAAAGCTGTATATATAATTTGAAAAACAAAAGTCTGGTTTGGAATAATGGTCTAAGATTTTTATTTATTATTAATGATTTTTATTTTGCAATGATTATCTTTCAAGGTAAATTTAGACCATGCATATTTAACTTTGAGAGCTTGTATATGGACTGTATCATATAATTAAAGAATGAGCTAAAGGTGACTTCATTCAGCTTTTGAAATAAATGATTTTAGGGGATATAACTGCTTATTTAAATTAACATGTTAATTAAAATAAGCAGTTAGGACCAGAAGCAGCTAATAAGTGTTTTGAAGAATAACAGTATTCAAATTTGAATTGAAATTGCAGCCATGTCAGAAATTCTGTCTGAACTAATAGCCGGTTTTTAAAATTTAAACTTTTTGTTAACTTTCAGTTGATATATATAAATATTTGTAGCAAGATTAATTTATAAAGGTTATTTCTAAACTACATTTTATGATATACGTAATAAGTTTTTTTTTTTTTTTTTTTTAAATTGTGCAGATGAAGTTGAAAGTAAATTGTTTTAAAATATCCCAGAAAATGCTTTGCTGTACAATGGTACATGTCTGCTTTGAAATAATTCTGACTTGCTATATGTTCTGTTTTGTTGTGAAATGGACTCAAGATAGATGAGTTACAATTTCACCCAATACCCTAATTTACCACTGGCCATGAGTGTTTGTGTGCTACTATCCAATTAAAAACCAGCTGTATATCTCTGAATTTTTACATGATTTTGAGTTTCTTTGTTTACATTTTTTTTTTTTTTTTTTTTTTTTTTTTTTTTGTAAATTCATTAGGAATGAGTTTTAAGAAAGGTAATGAAAATGGTTACAATCATCATGGAGGGGGGGGAGAAATTGTTCAAAAGTATGAAGATGGCATGCGTATTGGAGACATGGGTAATGTATATGGTATGGCGAGAATGACTATAATTGCTTAAAGCAAAAGTACTATTAAATAGCTAACATTACAAAGGATGTGAAATCAGTTGCCAAAGATGAGAAACATTAGGGCATGCTGAGAAATTGTTTTAATCTGGATGACAAAAAAAAAAAAAAAAAAATGTACATGCAGTATTTTGTTGATATATAGTATATATTTTACCCATTGCATTTGTATTTTATTAAACAATGTTGTTATAATAATGATATGATTTTTTTAAATAAACGGATTAATTATTTCCCCTTTATTTCTTATTGGAAAAGTTTGTTTGTTATGTCCAGCGATCTAGAATGAGCTAGTCATATATACTGAGGTGTCACAATATTTGTTTTTTTTTTTCGGAGGGGGAGCAGGCAGTACATGTATAATGTACCTCCTGATATTAGAAAAATCTATATAAGAGTTTCTACTTTTTGGAACCAATAAATTATGTTACTGGCACGTTTATCATCCACATGGCTTGTCAAGTTGGTAACATATGAGGGTGAATCAAATATAAAGAGCCTTTTCTTTAAACATTTTTTAATAGGAAACATCTACATTTCTACAAATTATTTTTCTAAATAATCTTCTCCTTTTATGATACATTTTTCCAATGTTTTGGTTATTTTTTTATTCTGTTCTCGTAGAATGAAGTTGGATAGGTATGTAACCCATGTGCACGAATGTTTTCACTTGATTGCTGGTCTCAAATCGCTTTCCTCCTTGTGCTTCTTTAAGAACTTCAACATGTGAAAATCACATTGTGATAAATCTGGGCTGTAAAGTGGATGATCAAGCATTTTCCAATGCATTTCAACCAGTTTCTGCTGCGTTACACTTGCTTTGTGGGGCATGGCATTGTTATGGAGGATCAACACCTGGCGGATGGGACAGTCTCGTCTTTTGCATTGACACTGATGCCTAATTTGGTCTAAGAGACCACAGTAATAAGTTGCATCTGATGTCTGTGTAAAAAATTCACCAGTAGGACTTCCTCCACTCCCAAAAGACTGTGGCCAACACTTCAGACACAAACAATCGAGTTTTGGCTTTCATGTGGTTTCCTTCGCTTTTCTTTCTCCACTCCATGCTAGCAAGCTTTGATTGGGGGGCCATAATGATGCACCCATGTGTCATCACAGGTAACAATTTTAGGCAAAGAACGTTTCTTATTCTTTTTCAAAACGAGTTTGATGCAACTGAGAAATGCCAGTGTATGCAGCTTTTTGATCACCATTCAGTAACTCTGGAATGGCTGAGATTTTTCTGAACCCAACTGCTTTCTGATGACTTATTGGACACTTCCATAGTTGACACCAAGTTCTGAAATTTGAAGTACTGTACAGCTTCGATCCCGTTCGATAAGCTCACAAACATGTACAGTCACACTGTTGCCAGGACAATGGGGATCACCTTAATTCTCAACATGTTCCAGGGTTCGTAGCGGTCCTTACAAGTGCTTATAAGTCCTTATATTTGAAAATAAAATATAAAGGCCCTTATAGGTGCTTACTTTTTCTTTAAAGCTCTTATTTTTTTTTTTTTTTTGTTTTTAGTGCTTATTTTTTGCTTTTAGTGCTTTTTTTTTAATCTTTTGTTTTCAATGAACGCGCATTTTTTTCCCGTATCAAAGCCGAAACTAAATAAACAACTTTTCTTCCTTATATGCAACGTCAGATGGTGAATCATACTCCTGAAAATTGCTTCCCCCCTTCCTCTGCATTAACGTAACTTATGGTACGCGCGAGAGTACAAACTGGTGCACGTCGTTCTATTGGCCAAAGAATTGCGAAAACGTAGAAAATTCCGGTACATTCGGTATTCTTTCCTCCCACCCAAATACTACACACGTTTGAATTTCTATCAAGATTTTAATAAATTTGCATTCTCTTTTCGCGTGGTCAGTTCATATTCGTGTTTATTATGATCGTTATGCTTATATTATGAGCATATGTATGTATGGAGATTTCCGGTTATGTTTTTACCACCAATCCTCGAATTCCATATCACAGATTATGTTCTTACTGCATTAATATAAATATTAACAAGACATAGTGCACAATAAAAATTAAGCTTTATTTAGGAACTTCGCGCACACTGCCCGACAGCCTGCCTGTTTCGCTCTGCTCGCTACTCGTAAGAAATTTCTCCTCTAGGGTTGCCACACTTATCGGAGGGCCCAAGGCGCGCTCCTTATCGCCATCACCACAGAGTTTCCCCCCAGTTCCTTTAATGGCTATTCAAAGGAACGACATAGTTTATGAAATTATCCAGAGTATCCGTGCTGTCGGGTATTTTTACATGATTACAAAATTAGAATATAAAATTAGAAGAGATCAAATGAGAATTCAATATATAACAAGGTATTGACACATATAATAAACATGAAATAACAAGAAATATGTTAAGATATGAATTTAAAAAAAATGTTTTTAAATTGTTATGTAAGAAGCAAGTTTCTTAGGGAAGTGAACATGTCTTCCCGATCTGGTGACAGTTTGTGTCTTAGAGAGTTCGTTTGCAGATTTATTCTGCTGAACTGTCTTTAAGTCTTTATTTGTTTTCAGTTCAGGCAAATTAGAGTCCGAAAGCAAATAGGCTGGTTTCACACGGTCTATAGACACAGTAGATTTCAGACCGTTAACATCAATTGGTGAAAGTTTTGTCTGTTCTAGAAAGGACTTTATGCGGACCTGTATATGGTTGGCACAGAGGTGGCTTTTACTCGATCGACACGTAAGTATACATGCGTACACGACTTTAAGGTAGCACTTACGTAACATTTTTCTTGGCAATTGTGCATTGTTGCTATTGGATTCAATTGGTTCATTCTATGCCGAAGATTCGTGATAAATTGTGTGTCATACGGAGATATCTTAGATGACGTTATCATATCACTAGGCAGCTTGAGAGTTGTGCCGTACACCAGTTCAGCACAAGATGACTGTAGAATCTCCTTTACGGCTGTCCGAATACCAAGCATAACACTGGTAGTGTTTCAGTCCAGTTATTGGTCTCGTGAGCCTTGAAGAAGATTTTAAATGTCGATGAAATCGTTCAACATGCCGTTTTGACATTGGATGATAGGCTGTTGTTGTGATTCTGTTTCTACCCAAAATGCACTTAATTCTGCAAAAAGTGCGGGATCTCATTTGAGAACCTTGGTCTGTTGTTTGGTCGATGGGCAGCCAAAACGAGATATCCAACAGTTGAAGATGCTCTGCAAATGTTTCCCGTTTTCATATCCGGGATGGGAATGACTTCAGGCCATCTGGAGAATCTATCTATTAGAGTCAAAGGTACACGTTTGCCTTCTGATGGAGGTAATGGTCCGACGATATCCATATGGATTTCTGAAAAACGTGCATCAGGAAGAGAGAATGTGCCCAGTGGTGCTTAGTATTCCTAGTAATTTTCAATTTTGGGCAAGATTCACAGGATTTCACCCAATTTTTGATATGACGTTTCATATCGGGCCATACATAACGAAACAAATAAGCTTTGTAGTAGCTGCAATTCCTGGATGTGACAGATTATGCAGATGATTAAAGATGAGTCTGCGAAAGGAATTCGGAACAAATGGACGAGGAATGTCCATTGATATGTCACAAAGAATATTACCATCAAATTTGGCACGGTTTAAAATTCCAGTTTCAAAGATGATGTATGTTTTTGAAAAGGTCTTGTACCTCCGGATCATGCCGTTGAGCTTCCGAAAATTTTTTAAAATCCAAAAATGGAGATTTTGTTATGGAATCAATTTCGATTCTTGAAAGAGCGTCAGCAACGACATTTTTTTAACCTTGCACATGCCTAATATCAGTAAAGTACTGAGAAATAAAATCTAAATGGCGCAATTGTCGAGGTGAACCTTTATGAGGGTTCTGTTTAAAAGCGTATATTAGCGGTTTTTGATCCGTATAAATTATAAAATTTCTGCCCTCTAACATGTGTCGGAATTTCTAAATTGCAGAATAAATTGAAAATAATTCCCTATCGTACGCAGACCATTTCTATTGACTTTTATTGAGTTTCATAGAGAAAAATGCTATAGGTTCCCATGTTTGTTGAGACAACTGCATAAGTGTGCCGCCTATTGCGACGTCTGAGGCATCTACCCAGATGCTTAGATGGGCTCCGGGAATAGGGTCTGAAAAGGGTAGCCTGAGCAATGGCATTTTTGGCAGCAATAAGGCTTGTTCAGCATCTCGTTCCAATTTAATTGTGGGGATTAACCTGAACATGCGAACAAGATTTCTTTTATCATATAGCCCTTCTAACAATTTTATAAAGGAGAAGAATTGTGCTTGCTTTAGTATGAACCATCTGTAAAGTTAAACATGCCTAAAAATCGGCGAGCTGAGTGAGAAGTGGTAGGTTGAGGAAATCTAAAATACATTTGACTTTGTCAGGAAGAGGTTCAATTCCGTTTTCACTAAGGTGAAAACCTAAGAAATCATAGACGTTTGACTAAAGGTGCATTTTTGAAACATTTATGCAAATCCATATTCCTGAAGTTTGGAAATAAAGCTTTCAAATACCTGCAATGTTCCTCAGAATCTTTAGAGCTATGAGCAAGTCATCGACGAAGCGTAAACCCTTCTAAATCCCGCGTGCTTCATCTATAAAACGTTGAAAAGTCGTTGCATTGCACAAGCCAAATTGCATACGGTTACTTTCGAATAAACCGAATGGTGTCATATGGGCGGTTTTGTGGATGTCGGCTGGGTTAATTGGTATTTGATGGTATGCCTTAATCAGGTCAACATGACTAAAATTTTAGTACCGTGCATGCAGCAGTAAAATCGTCTAAACATGGATAAGGGTATTTGTCTTTTATTGTTTGAGCGTTCATGCTCGATAATCTCCTACAGGTCTCCATTCCAACTTCCCTTTTTTTGGAACCATGTGAAGTGGGGATGCATAATTGCTGCTCGAAGGTCTCAAATGCCCCAATTGCATCATAGTTTGAATTCTTGTTTTGCTATTTTAAGCGATCTGGAGCTAACCGACGAGGTTTTGCAACCACAGGTGGACCTTTAGTTATGATATAATGAACGGTGTTTTTTAACAGTTGGTTAGGATCTGGTAATCTAGTAACTGAAGAAATTCTTTTAAATTTTGTGATATGGTGTATCACTAAATACAGTTTTTACTGAATAAATGATTGTATTTTTACGCAACCGACGGTTTTAAATGCGTTTTTAAATCTTTGAGACATTTGTTTCTGAGATCAGCACCAATTCAAAGAAATGGAGAAAATCTGCTCCAAGAATGGGTGTACTACATTTGCTATAAAAAAGTCCATGTAAAACTGTCGTCTTAATTTGAAATCCAAAGAAAGTGTTTTTTTGACCATAACATGAATAGTAGAATTAGCAGCGAAAAGTGTTTGTTGGGACGAATTCCGTTTTGAGAATTATTTGCTGGAAGTAAGGACACGTCAGAGCCGGTATCGACCAGAATGAAAGGTTTGTTCTACGTCACGAACGAACAGGCGACGTGAAACTTGAGGCAAGAATAATCGCCTCTATTCTTTGCTGGTTTCGTTTCCTCCATGAACAAGGTTTTTTGTACATTTGGTCATCTCTACACTTTTTCCCAAAACGTCTATGATACCAGCAAACAGATAATCTGTCTTTTGAATTGCTTCTTTCCTTATTGCGATCTCCGCGATTTGGCGAGCGACCACGAAAGAAAACGATCAATACGTTTGTTAATTTTTTATTTGTTTAAATAATTTAGCCTCAGAGACTGATCGACTGTGCGAGAACGGCACAAGTCCCTGGGGTTGGATTTACTTCTAAAATTCTGTCGGCAATTTCTGCACCTTTATCTGCAGTTAAATTGGAAACCGCTGCAAAAATAGACTGAACATTCGAAGGCAAACGTTGAAGGAATAATTCTAACATTAAGTTATCTGGAACATTTAAAGATTCTGCTTGACGTTTCATATTGCTAAGCAAATCGATAGGTTTTCAAGAACATAATTCCTCTCCAGATAATAATTGGCAAATTTCTTGCTGAGAAGATTCTCTTGAACGATTTATTAACATAAGTAACTCCATAAGTAAATCACACTAGAGATGCTATATCTGGAGGAAGATGAGCAACTACATAATTATATTTAGTAATGGATTGTGTGCTAGGTTTGGGGGTGGCAAGAGCAAAGGTATTTTCACACATAATAAACCATAAAGTGGGTCTGATCGTTATAACCGGAATTTGGACGTCATAACATCAACATTGTGCAAGGTTTTTAAGCCAATAAAACAAAAATTTAACTAAAGAAAATGAAATTAAATGATAAGTAGGAAACAAAATTATAAAATGATCTATAATTACTACTCATCTGTGATTCAGAGGATGAAAAACGGTATAATCCATTACTTCTGGTTTGGAGATCTTGAGTGATGGCCTTGTAGTCAAAACCGAAAGTGCTTGAGAACTGTTCATACGGCCTGATTTAGCACAGTTCAAGTCACCATTATGGTGATTCCTATCATGTTGTTACCTGTATGTTTTACCACCAATGCTCGCATTCCATATCACAGATCGTGTTCTTACTGCATTAATATAAATATTAACTAGACATAGTGCACAATAAAAATTAAGCTTTAGTTAGGAACTTCGCTCACACCTGCCCGACAGCCTGCCTGTTTCGCTCTGCTCGCTACTCGTAAGAAATTTCTCCTCTAGGGTTGCCACACTTATCGGAGGGCCAAGGCGCGCTCCTTATCGCCATCACACAGATATTATATAATATAATTGCATAACTGCTGAAGTATGATAACTTCCAAAATGGGTGTGTTTTTCAGATTAGCTATCGGAATGGCTGTAATCGGCAATACATTATACAGTACGATGAGTTACAAAATCTCTAATGAATCACTGTCCAAATTAAGGAAGAACCCAAAATGAATTCAAATTTAATAAGGTTGATTAGACACATAGTAATTTAAATACCGGCAGTGAACGTAATCACATATGGAATACGGCACGTATAGAATAACGTGCGGTATTTTTAATTAAAAAAATGTTTTAAAGCAGATTTCTCAGTTAGCACATATCAAATGAAGGCTGCAAACTCCTCTTTTTCCAGTTTCTTAGGGAAGTGGATGACTGATTTCTCTTCCCGATCTGGTTCACCAGTTAATATGTGTCTTAGAGTATATTCTTTGTAAACTAGTAAATTATTCCATGCGTTGCTCATATTTTAAATTAAAGTCTGTTCTTGTGTATTGTATAGACAGGTGCCTATTTTTTTCTTAAAATGTCTGAAAATAGATGGTGCCTTATTTTTTTACTCTGTTCTATGACCCTGTTTTCGCCTTTTTTAACATGCCCAAACTTCACTCTTGACCATGGAAGGGTAGCTTCCCAAACTGGGCATGCAGTCTCCGTAAATTTCAGCTGGCTTCACATTTTTATGGATGAGGAACTTTATGCTTTGCTCAAGAGAGATAGGCGCAGTCCTCTCACTCATCATAAGGGCTGCTACTGCTACACAAAGCATAGAACAAGCCAGCTGCTGTGGTTCCCTTACTCTAGCAACCCCACCTAAAGATTTCAGATGACCAAACACAACAAGTACACATCTTAAAGTACCCATCTTAAAGCTCAGCCAATAAAGGCTCGTTCATATTTGATTACTCTGCGTAATATTTTTGATTTAGTTTCCATGCAACTGAGCCAACAATCAACTCTTAGAATATTGCTGTTCAACATGAAATAAGATGTTTAATTAATTTCAAATTATAGCTGTGGTAATTGAACAAATTGAGCTATTTCAAAGCAATTAAGGTATGTCTTAGTAACTCATATCCTTATTTTATTATCTTAATAGTATATCTTATGGTGAAACTTTATAGCACATTTGATGAATGTAATTTATAAAATATCTCTCTGATAAAGTTTTAAGCTTTTATGTCCTTATTATAAGTAATAATTTTGTTATTTCTGATACCATATATCATGTAAGAGAATGATTATTTACTTTTATTTTAAAGTATTTGTTGTTTTAAAATGTATGCATATTGTTAGTACTTGTTATTTAAGTATCATCTGCTTTGAATTGACATTCATTTTTTAATTATGCTGATTTTTAATATTAAGTGTTGAAAAGGTAAAGACATTTTATTATTAATAAATATCTGTCATTAGTATTATAATTAATGTTTTATGAATAATTTTATAATATTTATCTGTCAATTTATATTTTAATTTTATGTCATTATTATTTATTATTAATAAATAATCAAGACAAATTATATATAATCTAATCTTATTATTAGAAGCAATATGGTTTTTGAGTAAAAGATTTTGAGTTAAGTGCTTATGGTAATATGTAATTTTTCCAAATTATTGATGGAAGATTTAGAGACATTATTGTCACAAATTGTACACCTGTTACTAATATAACGTAATATTCACATTCCAAGGCATGTCCGGAAAAGACATTTTAATTATTAGTAATATATAATTTTGAAATAAAATTGGAGAAAAGGGATTTTAAATTAGTGTAAAATTGCATATTAAGGCAAGTGCACTTTCAGAGAAAATGTTTGGGATAAAACTGATAAAAATAATCATAATACTGATTATGTATGTGAATTTTTTTTTTTTTTTTTTCCATTTCTAATATTCATGTTTGCTAATGAAAAAAAAATTGGTTTTTTATTAGTTTTGTTATTTTAAAAATTATGTATGGTAATTTAAAAACAATTTAAACATTTAATTTTTATGCATTTTATGGTTGAATATATCTGTATTAGTTTTATTTTTACTTTCAGTTTTGAATGTGAAATTTTGATGAAACTTCTTGAGGCTAAAAAACACATGCAGAATTGGTTGTTTTTACCATCACTTCTTTGTTTGCATGATGCTCATTCAAAGTTAGCAGCCTGGCTGTGTACACCCAAAGAGGTGATTTTAAAAAGTATTAGTTTAAAGCAGAATGTAATCACTAGTATTATATAATAGTTATATTGTATATTTCTGCTTGTACTTTTATGTTCAATTTAAATTTATTATACTGAAACTGAAATTTATTTGAAAAGCTAAATCATGTAAATAATATATTATTGTCAAAAAAGTTCATAAGGTAACCCATGCTTTTAAATAAATAAAAACATTCATGTAAAATAGAGAGCCATTTCTTTTAGTATCTTACCATTCTGAAAATGAGATTCTGTAAGCTGTACTGTAATTCTTGACCACTTTAAATTTTTATAGACAGAAATACAACAAAATTCCACTTCTTTTGACTTAAACAAAGTCAAACGAATTTTTATCAACTTCTGCTTACAGAAGCTTTCTATTGCAGCTACTGCTTACTGGTATTGCTAAAATACTGGTATTCCTAAATTCATAGGATAATTCATACTGTAGATAAATATCTTAGAAAGTGTGCATGTAAACAACTTCTTTTGATGTCTTTATCATTACAGAAATGAGATCCTGTAAACTGCATTGTTTAGTCATTTCTTTAGCATTAATATCAGATTGAAAGTTGCTTATTGTACTCTCAGTTGTCATTTTCATGAAATTAAGTAGTGAAGTTTTGCAGTTTCAACTAGTAAGTTTCTGTCTTATTGCTTCAATAAGGAAAATGCTTAATCTGTAAATGGATGAAATTTTTTTAAGCTGCTTTTCTGGTTCTATTTGGGCCTTTGTTGGAAAATCACAATTAAGCATTAATTTCTTTATCCAGAGTTTAATCATTTAGAAACATAGGTTTAAGATCTAACATTTTTTCAAAATGCCATACTCATCTGTCATGGTTTTATCCCTCTTTCTTGTAATTAATCAAGAACTTTTAGTCATCTTTAGACTGTAAAATTTTCTCTTGGAATTTCATATAAGAATGTACAAAAATCACCTTTTTGTTAGCTGGCTTAATGACTTCCTTTATAGCTTCACCAAGATATCATCAATTTCTAGACCAATTTGGCTGGCACAATCCACAAATTAGCACCCTAAGGGGCTAGTTGCCTATATCGCCTATGCTTGGAATTGAGCTTGGATCAATTTTAAAACTTCAATAAAATCTCACTATTATATGGATCTCACTATTATTAGTATATTGTTGCCTTCAGCTGTTCATTCTATAAATTTAATCCTTTTCATAACAGTGAAACCTTACCTAATATTTATGATTTCTTAAAAAAGAGACTTAAACAATGTTTATTGATAATATTATGTATAATTTGATTTCAGTGGAAGTGGATATTTAAACAATAAAATATGAGTTTCTTCTCACTTATTGAAAACTAAAAATAGAAAATGATTAAAATATTAAAAATAGAATAACAAACTAAAAAGTTAATTTAGAATTAAATACCTAAAATTTTATATTTTCTATCATAGGCAAAAAAGTCCCCATCAAGTACATACCGAATTCCTCCTGTGTATAACTGGTTAAGAACTTTGAAATCTTCTCTTGTGGCCAAAGTAAGATAGTATTTATCTTAGTAAAAAATATAAAAAATGAATTATTATACTATTTAAATTTCTGTCTTGTTTTATACTACATAACATAAAACTCAAAACTGCTAATTTATATACTTGCTGTATCGTAAAGGAATGAAATTGACTGAGAAATCTTTTTCAAAGTTTTAAATCAAACAAATGAGTGTCACAATAAAACTGGCTTTTTCATTGCTGTTTATTCAAACGAAGAAGATATATAGCAAGATGTTTAAATCTGTTTTCCTAAAAAAACTATTGCTCCATTGTATCTTTATATTTTTAAGGATGAATTATATATATATAGAATATATTTCTTTATTTCATATATGGTATTGGGTCATCCGAAGAGCTCTGTGAATTTTCAAACCAAAGTGCATTTTCTTCTAACTACTTTGTTAGTGCTGATAATGCTTGATGAGGATGTTTAATGTTTAACCATTAAAATATTTCTCCCAAGACAGTCTCATCAATTAAAAAAGTGTCTTGAATAGCTTTTGATGAATGATTTTAATGATTCAAGTAATATCAAAAGATTAATGGCCACTTTAAATGCTCAAATAATTTTGTAATATATATAGGTATTAAAATTCAAAGCTACTGACAACACTTTTCAAATCAATGAGTGCGGATACATAAATTTTTTTTTCATAAATCGAATACATAAATCGAATTTTGTACATATGAAAATAATTTTAATGAAATTATATGTGAAATTCTAGTATCTTTTCCATAATGTATCATGAAATGTTTGAGAAAGTGAAGCATCTGCTGGAAAAATGAAGTTGTAGGGGCAAGTCAGGCTATCTTGCTAAATTGGCAAGATATCACAAAGCTGGTGATAATTTTAATGACAAATTTGGTTATGTTTTGATCCAGTCTTTCTATAACTCTAATTGAATAACTGTAATTGATCGCTATATGTAACTATAACTCTATCCAGCTCTTATATGTATGCCGTATATCTAGTAATTTCGAGAAACAGTAAATTACTAGAGATTTCTTGGCAGCTGGGAAGAAAACTATATCAGCCCAGAGACAACATAAGTTTTCAGATTTAGTTCAGAGCTGTCTTCAAAGTATTGAGAGTTCCATGCGAGCTTTGCTGTTTAGATGCGGTTTGCAACTACTGATTATGCTCTGCCCCACCAAGAAGAGCTGTGTGAATACTTTTGTGGAAAGTTCCAGAACTATAAATTGTTTCTTCTGGAAAAAATAAATTTTATCAAGCTATCATTGGTTATGTGTGCATTCATTCCATGACAAATCTGTACACATGTAGCAATTTTTTGTGTCAGAAGTGGGATTGGATGCCGGTGACATGAGCTATGGAGGAGCAATTAAGATAACTGTTGACAACCTTTACTGCATTTAAAGAGATGAAAGTCAGCCAAGAATCCATTAAAGAAAAGATGAATGCTTTTCAAGAACAGATGAAAGTAGGCCAAAAATTAAGATTCTATCATGTCAGTTCAACAAACGATTGAAGCAAGTCAAGAGGAAATTAAAAGACAAATTACTACCATAAAAACAAACTCGAGGCTTTGGAAGGCAGAATAGAAATTTTTGAAAATAAATTTGAAGAAATAGATCAAAAAGATGAGCTGCCAAACAATGAAATGAAGAAAGAGTGTCTGCTGTCAAACAGCAAATTGATAACAGAGTTTCCGCTGTGGAATAATAAATCGATGATAGCATTTCTTCTGCTGTTGCCAAGGAAGTTGACATCTTAAAGAAATCTGTACTGATATGAGTAGGAAACAATTTTGACAGCTTTAAATTTTTATCTTTGTCTTCTTGAGTCTCTGTAAAGTTATCCATGTGTGATAGAAAGACCTCCTGGCAAGACTACAAAGCTCATTTCTATATAGTTAGTGAATACAAATTAATGGGACTCCGAATCTAAGGCCTTTCACCTCGCTGCTTCTCTGAGAGCAGATGCCATAGATATCCTTCAAACTCTGCCCAAAAACCAGAGAATAGATTTTGAAACTCTGTTCGGTGCATTGGAGCTGTGCTTTAGTGAGAAATGTTTGAAAGACTATAGCAAGCTTCATTTGAAATCTCACCAACAGAAGCCCATGGAAATACACCATGAGCTTCCTAATATTCATAGCACTTTAGTATTTTCCAAACACTTGTAACAGTGCTAATCATGGGACCTTTATTTGCAAAAAATAAGAACTGAAATGCAGAAGATCTGCAATAACTGTTATTAGAAGAATAAGGTGAATGCTAGAGGAAATTAAATTTAAAAAGAACTATGAATGTAGAAACAAGTCAAATATTCATTTTTCATTGACAGCTGAGCTTCTCACCAGCATATTTATGACCATTAAGTTTGGATGTGAGCAAAGCTTAAAGGGTTTTCTGTACCTGAAAATCTATAAAAGATTCCACCAAAATGGTTTCCATTTCGTGAATTTAATTATACGAGTCAAAAATAAGCATGCAGATGCATTGGAAGATAATAATGTGCCGGTCTGAATTGCAATATTTTAGCTATTTTGCAAATTGTTGCCGCTTCACTACAGACTTGATATTTTTACAGGCTTTTATGGTAGTAATTTAACTCACAAAACATAAAGCAAATTCAGAAACTTCAGTTTCACGAAACATAAAGCAAATTTTGTTTTCGCTGCCACACTAAAGCACAGATATTGAATTAGCAAATATTGGGATCTATGACTGTATTTTATAATTTCTGAGGACTTTTATGCAAACTGATTTGAAGTTGTTTTTTTATTGGTTAAAGCATCATCATCAGGTGAAGGAATTTCCTGTGCAGATTGCTGTTAACTATTTAGAGAGATGCAGCACAGTCTTTCAATTCTTCCCAATTGAAACTGAAATACAGCAGAAAATGTTTGGAATATGTTAGGAAAATGTATTTAAAAAAAACTGTGAAATTTGCTGTACTGGAGAAATGAATTCAGTGCCTCATATTTTCAAGTGACATATTCATTTCTGGTGTTGAATATGTTTTTGTTATTTGTACTAAAGTCAGTATAGTGCATTTTAAGTCTTCCCCCCCCCCAAAAAAAAAACCTCATCAGTGTATATTTATACATAATTCTGATGGTGAATGATGTCCAAATATGTTTCTTTAATATTTGTGAGTTGTAATATGTTTTCACTTATGTAGCATTTTTTAATATTTATTTATATTATTTGTTTAGTATATTCCTTACTTCTGTTTAATTTTTGAATGAAGATTTCTTATTTACTGCTTTAGTCAGTTTATACATTTATTTTTAAAATATATGCATTTTTCTTTCTTATGTATGTACAGTTTAATATGCATGTTATATGTTACATACCGAATATACTATATGTATTCTTTTTATTATATATTTTGTATTATTTATGGTCTTCTAAAAATATTAATTTCCTTTCAGTTTACTCTCTATTTTCATGAAATTTTGAGTAGACAGACATCTGCTACTGAAATGAAGAATTTTTGTTCTAAAGCTACTGAAGATTATTTTCTAAAGTATCTTTTAGCTTTTTATGGGATATTTTTGTAACTTTTGATATGCTTTTGCTTTATACTCAATTCTTCAATCACTATAAATATTTCCATTTGCCTTACATGTCCAAGACTTCTGTTTGTATTAAGCATTGCACTAGCACAAAAGCTGTTAAAATGTCAGTTTCTAGAATATGCCAAAGAATACTTTTAGTAATGATAATATAAACAAATTTATTGTTTATAAAATGAAATGTAGTTAAATAGTGGTCCTCTCATGTCAAAAAATGTTTGGAATAATTTAATAAGTTTAGATGATAAAATTTTGCAAACCATTAGTAGTAGATAGTTATCAAAGTTTTTGCTTTGAAATTTAGTTGTATGAAAAGTTGTTATTTTTTTAATTTAATTAATTTATTTATTTTTAAGATTGTAAATAAATAATAGTTTTAAATTTTAACATTAGGTTTATTTTTTGAAACATACAGTAACTCTGAGAAGGTGAGTACAATGCCCATTGTGCTACTACTACGTTGTTCAATACTATTGCATTATTCAGTGTTAATTGAAGATCGGTAGGAAATAATACCCCTCACAGTTACATATCTCCAGGAATTGCTGACATATTTAATTTCTTGAAATGAAGGAAGATTTGTGATACAACCTTGATTTAAGATGCTCTGAAAGTTGCTGCTGTTGAATAACATACTCGTATTTAAGAAAGCACTATGAGCTTTTGTTTATCAGCCTTTTCTTAATATTGATAGAAGAAAATATCTCACAACTAATGAAATATGTGCTGAAGTTCCATCTTGCATAAAAAGGTAATTTCTTGATGCATAGTATTCATCCACCATTGTCAGCACTTAGCTTTGAAGACAGAAATAATGCTTATTAGTAACTGTTACTGTTTAAATACCATTTTGTACTTGTTTAAAAAGTGAGCTAGTGATTAGTAATGATATGCAACCATTTTAGATAATAATGATAAAAAGAAAAAGAATTCGATGTAAAGAGAAGATTTCCGTGCTCCTGCTTTTAATCTAATTATAAATTTCAATATTCAGCAGATTAAAGATTAGAAAAAGATAGATATTTATGAATGTTAATAAGATATATTTTTCCTTAAAACTCAAAAGATAAATATTCTGATAGGTTATTATTAATTGAATATATGAAAAAATTTATTTTTATTTACAAATATTCAAATCATATTAATTACATTAATCTTCTAAAGCCGGCGGTACAGCAGTTGTACCAGGAAAAATGACTTTCTTTAATGCTGGCTGTGGTACAACTGTCGTGCCAGTCATCCCCTCCCTATTTTAAAGAATCGCCTCTCTGTAGATCTCTGGGTGGTCCATTGTCGCTGCTCAGAATAGCTGCTGGCTACGCATTGTTTACCTCTTCTTATCAGTTTGACTATATTTTGGCAAAAACCGCAGGTTTCGTCTCGCACCAGTATACTTGAAATCTTGAAAATCAAATAGAAGCCATCTCTTTCTCAAATGTTAGAGCATTAGCTATAAATTTTAGAGCTAACTTTTTAATTACTAACTTTTGCTACGATTAAAACGTCAGCAATTTTGCACGCTGTTTAAGCTTACCAGATTTAATGCTTTTTAATCATAGCAAATAAGATTAGATTAATATTTTAGATTTAATTCCCTTCTAAAAAATAGGTAAAACCGCTTTTATTGTTTAGTTCCTTTTTATACTTATGAATAATAAGATGTTACTTTGACCCTTTTTTAAGGGGTGCATAAAACCCTTAAGAACTGTTAACTCTTTCAAAGTGCTTCTATTATGTAGCCAATTTTGTCTGATTTATCAGGAGATAAATAAGAGACAATTGAATGCATAATAGTTTTTTGTAATTTTTATTCATTCAATGATTGATTTCAATGATTTTCATTCATTGTATATTAAATAAAACCAATTTATCTTTAGACCCTCTTTTTAGGATGACATCTGTCGAAAAGTATTTAAATATCATTGAAGCACACGAACTTCTAAATTGAATCAAAACATCAGTTACATTGCATAAAATTTCGGCTAGTTTTATTTGCTGAAATTCTTATACTCCTCAAGAGATAAAGGGACTTCAGACAAGTGAATAAAAAATTTATCTTTAGGAATGTTATTTTGTCTCTAATAAACATATGTCAACTTACTATTAAATGTATGAGAATTAGGATTGGATTACGGAAAAACATGCAAACGCTATCTGCTTAAGTGGATGGATGGTTTCACGTTAACCTTTTTAAGAGAAAATTGTTTGCGTTCCTTATGGAAAACTCCACATGTAATCAACACGTTCTCCGGGTTTGATTGGATTAATTTTGTTCGTTTACTGAATTACATCAAAGCACACAACAATTGCCTGTATAAGGGAAGAGATGCCTTCATGGAGGACTTTTTAAGGGAAGCTGGCTTGTATTTATGTTACACAAAAACCATGAATCCAACCCTTTAGCCAGAATTCAAAAACCCGAGCTAGCTTTAAGTGTTCAGCCACCTACTGAAGGGCCCGTCGTATAAAAAAAAAAAAAAAAAAAAAAAAACTGATAAAGAAAAAGTATTGAAAATAACCGGTTTAATTTACTAACCTATATTTCGCAATCAAAAGTTCATAAATTAGGCATATGAGGGGATTATTTGTGAATAAATAAACTGTATTGCACTTTTCTCCACTATTTCATATTACGATGGAATTATTGCATTTCAGGTTATTTCTCATGAATTAATTTTGTTCCGTTCATGATTTTTTATTTTTTCAAAGAGAAAATTCACACTTTAAATAAAAAATACACGAGAAGATACTTTATGCAAAATTTGGCGTAAGCAATTTTCTTAATTTTACTTTAAAAGTATTCCAGGTCGTTTTCATCACTGGAAGAAATATGAAAAACAGATTTACTACATTGTAAGTGTCAACACCCAGTATGCCCTTATTCTTTTGAAAACATGAAAGATTAAATTAGTCAGTACCATTATTTTGTTAATGAAAATATGTTATTAAAAATTGCATTCCAGCCTGCAGACTTACAAAGCTAGTTCATATTTATTATATTTTGTAAAATTTTGTTTTCATTTTCTAATTTCTAATACAAAAAATATGCGAATATAAATGAAGTGTGAAAACAAAGTTATTTAAATTCCCAAATTATTGCCGAGATTGATCAAAAATAGGAAATGAAATATAAACTTTTCATATGTTTTGTTCTAAATAAATAGTGCACTCGATGCATATCCAGTGCACTATTTATTCACTACTTATTTAGAACTTCATTTAAATGAATGCAAAATAATCATCGAAAAAATCGCAAATCTAGCAACCCATCTACTATCCAACAGCATCCGACAAACATGTAAATTTTACTGCATCCATGGAGTCGACTAACGACTTTTCTCATTAGGAAAATGTCAAAGAGGGGGCAAAAGTGTTTTGGATCGCACCGGTCTGAAGGCTATATTATGAGAATTTTGGCCAGGTTTTAGAAGGTTAATATGATATGAATATTTCTATGTTAAATTTTTTCCTGTGAATCGAAAATAAAATTTAAAAAAATGGTGTAATAAAGATGAAAATAAATGGAAATTTAACTTTTCAAAATATGTCTCTCTCATTATTTTGCTTCGTTTTAAAAAATATTTTTATTAATATATTCTTTCTTAAAAATAATAGTAAATTAAAATATTATTATAAAAGTCAAACCAAAAAATGCCATATTTTGAGAGCTAAATGTTCAGCTTTTGCTTGCATACATGCATTATGATTTTACCTCTGCAGGTTCTAAAACTTCGTTAAATTCATTTAAAAGAAAATCAATTTGCATAAGATTTTTACTTTTTTAGAGAGTTGTGAATAAGGCTTCTGGAAGAGCATTTCTAAAAGTCTTACAGGAAAAATTATATTTTTGCCTTACTCCTATGGGCACAGTGTACTTCAAAGCTACATTCTAACTTCATGCAGACAGGCAGTCGAGTTATCACCCTGTCTTCCACAAAAATTTCTATAAACTCAAAAAAAAAAAAAAAAAAAAAAAAAAAACTTTTATTAGAACTTAGTAACTTACATGACTTTTATAATTAATATGAAAATTCATCATTTCTTGCAGGATTTACAGGATATAAATATTGATGTAAAACAAAGTAATTAAAGTATGTATGTAAAGTATAAATGTAAAAATTTTTAATATAACACCATTTAATACATTGTTAGATGATGTATTTAATCAAAGTTTTAAAACTATATAATGAATGACAAAATTAATTAAAAGAAAATGTATGCAAACTTACAGGGGGATACGATACTATAGGTGGGAAAGATTCTAGTCCTTTGGGTACATCATAATGCTTATCGGGATAGTTATAGCCATGACCTCTGTATTCTTCCAGGCCATTAGCATCTAACACTATTGCAACACAAGCAACATCATATCTTTGCAACACAACCACACAGCAAAGTCTTACTGTAAGTTTTGGCTCAGGGCCATCTAATAATGTAGACTAGCAAAAGGCTGAAGGAGATTCAGATAAATCTAAGAGCTGTGTGTAAATAGTTTAGAAGTCCCCATAAAATGTGGCTGAGTGAGTTAATCTGCTAGTTTTTCCTGGGTTTGTTCCTAATGATCTTTAGAAAATCATATTATTAGAAAACCTTTTACTAATCCATCCTAGCCATTAGATAGCTAATAGCCATTGCTTGCCTTATTGAATTCAAATGATAAATTATCATGTTTATATGAAATGAGTAAAAGTCTTTGTGCAATGATTTTCATGTTCTGAATTCCCCCTTTTTTTTTTTTTTTTTTTTTTTTTTTTTTTAAAGTTGTGAGTGAATAATGCCAAAATTTTCCTAGTGAAGGTTATAAAATTTTTGTTTTTCTCTATTTTCATGCCAAAAATTGTGTAGAATATTCTGTATGGAGTTTTAAGTTACTATTTTTATGTTAAATATTAATGGAAAAGTTCAAACTTGCCATAATTTAAAATTTAACGTAAATTCAAGGTAACCGTGATAAAAAGTGTAGAGAAGTTTAAATTGTGCAAAGAAAACACTTAAGCAAAAGTAATAATGGAATTTTGAAAGAATGGGAGAAAGAGTATGCAGTACTCATGAAAGTGTTTTGTTTGGTATGTAGGCTAAAAAAAAAGTGAGCATGTAATGAAGGATGATGCATCTAAATATACACAATTATGTCACGTTTTTTCCATTCTATGATACTTTGTCTGTATTTGTGTTTCATTATAAAAGTGGTGCTATAAATTTTTGATATGTCTGCTCCTGTAAGGTCAGTTTGTATGATAAGACTATAAAGTATTAATAGAAATTTGTCATTCACCTCTTTTAATCTTGGTGGTCTGTTTCAAATTGGAGGGAGAGGGAGGGGGAGATATTAACTTTGGTCAAATGCATACAGTACTTTTTTAATATGTCTTATTTGTTATTTATTTTTATAAGCATTTTTCTTTCAGGATTATAACTTTTCAAAAAAGATATGATGTTGCTTGTGTTGCAATAGTGTTAGATGCTAATGGCCTGGAAGAATACAGAGGTCATGGCTATAACTATCCCGATAAGCATTATGATGTACCCAAAGGACTAGAATCTTTCCCACCTATAGTATCGTATCCCCCTGTAAGTTTGCATACATTTTCTTTTAATTAATTTTGTCATTCATTATTATATATTTTTAAAACTTTGATTAAATACATCATCTAACAATGTATTAAATGGTGTTATATTAAAAATTTTTACATTTATAAAAATGTGTAAAAAAAGTAAAAATGTTCTTATATTACAGTAGAAGTCCAGAAATCCGCAACGCTTGGGCCCAGAGGTTTCAGGACAGAAAAGATAATATTCAGACTAAAAGTGCAAAATAAATAAGGCGTATTACATACATTTAATTAAATTACGAGGGTTGGAACTTTAATAGTGGCAACACAGCTGAAAAAACGCTACGCAACAAAACCAAAGAATATCGCGTATACCACACGTGAACTACATACCTACCTTACCTCTCAGCAAAAAGACTCGTCCTGCCTACGTCGCGCGCATGCAGATTGACGCAAAGAACGGATCCTTATATTAGCTCGCGGTCTAAAGTAAGTGTTGTCAGGATGTTTTCAAAACAAGAACAACGATGTTGGATAAAAATTTAATGTGCCAGAGGTCGTACAGCATGACAGTGTCATCAAGGGGCTTCAAGAGGCTTGCAGGGAATCTGCATTGCCTTACAGAACCGTAGCAAGATGGGTGAAAGCATTCAATGAAGGACACCAAAACGTCGCAGAAATGCTGCGGCCAGGTCGTCTGAGTGTCAGCGATGCAGACATGCAAGCTGTTGCCGCACTAATGGACAGTGATCGCCGCTAAACAATTCATCAGCTGGCCGGACAAACAGGATTAGCGCATACGACTGTGCTGCACATTCTGAAGCAACGCCTGTCCATGAGAAAAATTGTTTCACGATGGGTTCCACATCAATTTGATGGAAATGCAGAAATGGCTACGATACGATGCTGCCCGAACCCACCTGGAGCGCTATGAGCGAAGGAGATGCTTTTTTACGCCGTATCATTACGCTGGATGAGACTTGGGCCCGATCGTATGAGCCAGAACTGAAACGCCAATCAAACAAATGGCATCATCACGGGTCACCACGACGTTCGAAATTTCGTCAGAACCCCAGCAATGTGAAAGTTATGGTCATTCTCATGTACGACTGTGATGGTGTCATCCTAACGCATACCATTCCCCCACAGCAGACCGTCACTGAGCAGTAATCCTGCTTATTTTTGGAGCACAATCTCCGACCAGCTTTGGGAAAAAAATGGCGACACTTTCTGCAGAATGCTCCTCTCATTTTGCATGACAATGCTGAGCTGCATGCAGCGCAAGCTGTGACTGATTTGTTCAAGCGATGGGGCTGGGAAGTGCTTTACCATCCACCATACTCCCCAGATCTAACAAAACAGGTGCTACTAAAGGTATTCTGCGACTTCCACATCGTTGGAAACGGGTTGTACACAATGCTGGCGACTATATTGAAGGACTGTAAAACATGGTGACATGAATCACTTTTGTATTCCTTGTAAATAAATAGTTGCCACTATTAAAGTTCTAACCCTCGTATTATATACATTAATACAATAATTAATTATATTCATTAAATTATTATTACGTATATAAACTGATTATATTATATTGTTCATTTACATTAGCCGCCTCTATTTTTAAATCAGCATGAATCTGCTTCCCCTTTTCTCTCAGGAGTAGTCCTGAAATAGATACCCCATCACTCCGTCGCTGCTGGAACCACTCGTGCAAGACAGCATCAAGGTTTACCGATTTCGCTTCATGTAAAGATTTCCGGTTTCGGATTTTGGTGTTAGAATCACTGTTGATGTAAAATTTCAACAGCTTTTCTTTATTGTTCCATATACCATACACAGTCTGTATGGCAATTCCACTATAAAACGAGCAGTAGCACCTGCCTTCATCTTTAGCAGAATTTCATTATCGTCAATTTCATTACCTAACTTTTTTCATTACCGTCAATGCAACGTGTTTACGTTTTTCAACGATGCAAGCAGTAAAATCACGAGTGCGTTTTTTATCTGTCATTGTATTAAAAAAGTGCTGAAATTTAAAATATTCTTAATTTATCCACAAAATATCCGGATAAAAAAAACAACATCACTAAACAATCTCGTGAAATAACGAAGCTCAGAAAGTGCAACAAAATGAAGCGTTAACTTGAAAGAAGACTTGAGTTAATTGTCTGCTTTTTTTTACCTCGATGCAGATTGGAGGGGGAAAACTCTTATCATGACGCCAATAATTTTGTATTTCTGTTATGACTCATTATTATTCGGTAATTATGACATCATTATCCAGTAAGTATTTTTTCTTCAATATTTCGTACTCCATGTTGCGGTTTCCGGAACCTATAAACTAAACGTTTGTATCTTGAGAAGCAATGCAGATTTCAGGAGTTGGTGGATTTCAGGTCGGCGGATATTCGTTATTTGACTGTACTATCATAACACCTATAATTTGAAGATAGTCTTCAAAATTATTTGCTTTTAACACTTATTTAAAAATCAGCTTGGTTTCGGAAAAAGATTTATGTTATCCAATTTGACAATTTTTAATAGCTACCTCATACTTAAGCATAAGAAGAAACTAAATAAGTTGGATATTTTTAAACTATGTATGATGACTTTACTTTTGGCTTTATTTTCGTGCATTGGTTATCATTAAAGATTTATTACACATGATAAACTGTTTCTATAATTTAATAAACATTTAGATATCTGTTTATATACCTATAATATAATTTTGTGTTATAGATATGGAAACAGCTATTAAAATGTTCATTAAAATAGTAGAAATAGTAAAGTTTATCAAGTATAATAAATCTTAAGTGATAATTATTTAATCACTTGCATACTGAGGTCTCGGTAGAGGGAGTCCACTCTTCTTTTTGCACTTTTTAACTGTTAAGCCTTTTGCATAGTCATGTATTGTTTAAGTGAAACAAGAGTTTCAAAACCGTTTGATAATGTATCTGATGCTCATTCCTAAATATTTTGTTACATTACCAAAAAATAAAATGTAAATATTAAAGAAAAAGAAAAACTAAAATTATATTACTGAAGTATATTATCAATAATAAAGTTATATTTTTGCTGATACTTAGTTTAGTATGAAAATGGTTTTCTGTAGTGATAATTACAATCGGTTTTTTATTTTAAAAAATGTCTCCACTATTTTTATTTTGAATTTATAGAATTTGGCTGCTTTTATTATGTCTTACCGTAATAAATTTTCATTATCCCTTTTTTTTTTTTTAAACCTCTCCTCGTTTCCTTGATCATTTATTTTAAAATTTGTATGTAATGCTCTTATTCCAGATTGAAACTTGTTAATATATACATGATTCATAATCTTGCATAATGCAGTATTATTTTGAAAAAGTACTTTTGCAAGTTATATCATTGCATTTATCTATGTAAATATTTATGTTTCAGAATTGTTTTACCCAAGAAAAACATTTATCTCATTGGCCAAGTGTTGTTATGATAATAAATAATAAAGAAAAAGAAATGCGCAACACAGATAATCCAGTTTCTGTTTATGACTCAGTAAGTATATATAGAAATGTTTCCTGTGTAATGTCATAATACGTATATGAAAATGAATTTGTCCTGTTTTTGAAAGCTGTGTTAACACTTTATTTATACAGTGTAAAATTAAGTCAAAATTCTTCTTTGTCCCCATTTTTTTCCCTCTGATTAAAAAAATTAACAAAACAAACTGATATTTGAATATGTAGCAAAAGAATATTGTTTGGTTTGTTTCATTGCTAGTAATAGGACTGTCTAAATCGCCCTTCCTTTATTTAAAATGGAGATATAACAAGACTTTTGCTTTAAATTTCATTTTTATTAGTAAGAACCTCAGGTTGGAAAATGTCATTAAACTTACGTTAATATTTTACAGGTATTATAGTAGTTCTGAATGGAATCAAATACAAATCTTACCTTATTTGATATGTGGAAATTTTGGAATGACAACAAACTGGATTTTAATTCTTCAAAATCATATGATAGTTTTTTTAACGACTAATAAGCATTTGCATTCATATCATCCCCAGATTTATTTTAAGGATCAGCCTTTTTCATGTGTTAAATATCCAAGTACTTAGGTTTTGTCATGGACCAGAAGATTTTGAGTAAGGGACCTATCATGGATCTGGTTAAAAAGAGGCATGAGTCTCAATATTCTTCTATTTATTTCTGATAGAGTTTGGGGTGCTGATGCTACAACCTTTAGGACAGCATATATTGCCTTTTTAAGACTTATCCTCAAATATGGGTTTCCAGTATATTTCAGTGCCTCCTTTACTAACTGTCAAAAATTTGAGTGAGTTCATTTGGGTTGTAGCTCATATCATAATGGGTTTAAGAAATAGCTGTCCAAACAAAATAGTACTTTCTGAAGCAAATCTTCAACTGCCGTGAAGTAGAATAAACTTAAACCTGGTGAAATATTTCAATAAATTAAAAAGCTATAAAATTTAAAATTGAGCTTCTGTATATCTTTGTGAATGAATCAGTAATCAGTGATTAAAAAAATATTCCTTTTTAATCACTGATTACTGATCCATTCAATCTATTCAGTCAAATAGAGAAAATGAATGTTATCTTCCATTTGATGAAGCCTATCTAACCGATTTGCCCTTCGCCCAGCAGAGAACTTTCCAAGTATGTTGTCACACAGAGCTTATATCTAATACAAACAAGAATTTTCAGGTCCCTGACTACATACTCTTGAGGCTATAGTATTTCAAGAGATGCCATTAGGATATACACTGTTGACAGCTTGGTCATACTGGAAGTGGTTTTCATTGAAGTGGAGAATTATACTATTGAGTTTCAAATATATGCATTGTCAGTGTAATTTGTATGTATCATCTAATTGTATGCATCATCAGTAATCCAGATGATTGCTTGATTTTCAGGAGTGAATTAATTGCTATAAATGAAGGATTGGAGGCCATTTCATGATTTTGGCATCTGTAGTACCTGGATCTTTATAGCCAACTGCAGCTCCATTCTGCATTTACAAAGGTGGAATTAAGTTAAATACCATGTGGGTATTCAAATACTCGATAAGTACCTGGCAAAGATTAAAGATATCTATTTTCAGTGGATCCCTTCTCATGTAAATGTATCTGTTAATGGAGTCTCAATAACTGGCTGAAATGGGCACTAACACAACAATGACTACTGATTATTCTGTTAGTTTTCCAGAGGTTTTCTCTGTAAGGAAAAACAAGGATAGATAAAGCATGACTGGTTCATCCCTTCAGCCCGTTATTATTCAGGTTGAAAACATCCTGATGCCTTGGAGTTTGGGTGAGAGACAAAATGAAACAGCTTTTTCTGAACTCAATAGTGGTAATTTAATTTTTTTTTTTTTTTTTTTTACATGGTTGCAATATTATTCCAACTTTGTAATAAGGGCAAAACAAGTCATGCATGCTCCCAAATATATTCTTAATTTTTTGCATTTTGCAATTGAGGATATCGTTACGCTTTCAGTTTTGGTGCTCGACTTTGCCAGGACGCTAGCCTTTTGGAGTAGGTCTAGCTGGGGCTAGATTTTGAGGGCTTGGCAATAACAACAAGAACAACAGGTAATATAATGACATCACATGAAGGATATCTATTGGATTACAAAAGGAAATCTGGATTTTGTCTCACATATCTTTTTATTTTATTATAAACATGTAAATCCATCCAGAAATTAAAGATAATTCATATATTAAGTAGCAGTTAAATATAGACTTTCACAAAATTAATTGTGTGTGTATAAAAGCCAGATATTTGATACATTTTATAAATGTCCAGAAGGTTGGAAGACAGGGTTAAAAAAGTGACCCAGGAATCTGGTAAACTTATTTGTGAATGAAAGCTGAAAAACTAGTGCGGTCTCAAAGAAGCAGAATGCATATTGTATATATCGTGCAAACATAAAAAAAAAAAAAAAGTTTTCTGCAGTGGTTGCTTTATCTTCAGTAATAGTATATAAAGAACTATAGTTCAGTTGTATATAATAATCTTTGCTGGGAGTTCATATTAGTCTTCACTGACAATGCATATATTTTTAGTGATGGGTGTCTTAACTGTACTGATGTATTTTTATCAAATATTTTTGAGTGCTTTTGACCTTGATATTAGGATTGTGCATCAAAATTACTTTTGATAACCTTAAGAATTGTCAAAGTGTCTGGAGTTGCTGCCTGTTGATGATTCTGTTCTATAATATATTATTTAGATATAATAAATTCAAGTTTTTGTTATCGCATCAATCAGTCATTCTAAAAGTACATGAATTAAACTTGCAATAATATCATGGAAGGTATATAATCAAAAGTTTTCTTTGTTATCAGTGAATATGTGTGATAACAAGCCAATTCAAAATTAAAGGAAAACTCAGGCTTAAAATATTTGAAAAGATCTAGATATATAAAATCTAAAGCAATAACATTAATTTTTTTCAATATTTCTCCCCAGATTTGATCATTTCAGTCATTACTTTTATTGCAGAAAAATTTTTTAAAAAATATTTCTAGAGAATATAAAATTCTGTAAAACTATGATTGTGTATGAAAAATCTGCAAAGAAATTAATAATGTTTAAAAAGTATACACAGAACTGCATCAAATGGCAAGTTAATACTGTTGCATTAAAGTGGTGTCAGTTAAAAATGGGCCACTTTTTTTTTTTTTTTCCGCCAGTTCTCACAAAGTATTAAATTATAAAATAATAATAGAGTTCAAAAGAATAAAAAAATTAATTCTGTGAAAAGTATTTTTTTTTAATTTTGTAACTAAGAATATTTTACACATAAATAAAAAATATCAAAGCGAAACGAAATACTATGTAAACAGGTGGCATAAAATTACAAATATCATTCAATATTGCAGAAAAGTTTTGAGTTTTTGAATATAATTGACACTACATAAATTCTATTAAATACGATTATAAATGGTGGCAAGCAGTGTCCCACTGACATTTATTTTTCCTGCCCCCCAACCAGTGCATAGTTTGGGTATGGCATCCAGTTTCAGAGTCTACAAAATTATAGCTGTGATTCACAGTGAAATGTTCATACCCAGCATTTCTTAGTTCTTTTTGCTTATATCCTTTCCAGCAGTCTGAAAATATAATGCTACCATCTGCTATGTTTACTTGAATGGCAGTCACCCATGTCATAGCACAACGATCAGGAATGGTGACCAGAAAACATTCTTTCCTTTCCCTGCATAAACCATCGAATACCAATTGTTCCAGAAGAATACATTCAACGTTGTTTTTCCTTCTTGTAAAAAGACTTTTCTCTATTTCTATGATTTTGTTGGTTCCACTGATTTTAATTATTTTATGAGACATCAAAATATTTGCACATACCTCCCTCAAGTAGTTATTGCAATCTACTGTCATATTATGGCTCATTTCTAATTGAAGTTCTCAAAATTCAATCGATGTCAATTATTGATACCACAGATAGATGAAACGAACGGCATCGAGGAAAGTAAGATGTGAGGCTTAAAACCATGTTTTGGTTTTCAGTCCTTTTTTTGGGGGGGGGTCACAGCAAGAACATATGTCACAACGCCATATAGGAGCTTTGTTTGAGTCATAATTTAACGTCATCGGATGATTTTTGAAAACAAAGTCTGTTGCTATGAATTATTCCTTTATTCTGAAAGAATCTTATGGCAGCTTTTTTGTTATTAGGTAACTGCCAAATTGTGTAATCCATCGTACTAAAAAAATGGCGAAATATGGCAAAAAATAACCAGTGATGATATTTCAAACGAAAATTAGAACTCTCGTGATACGATATTTTAAAAGTAAGTAAAAAATATTCAGAATAACGAGTGACGATATTTCAAATGAAAACAAGAATTCTAGAGCCAAGACATTCGGCGTGGTTGTTGGCACATTTTTAACTGACAGCGCTCTAACAGAATTGTACTGGCAAGTTTAACATGTAATTATGAAAAGAAAAGTAAATAGATATAACAATTTACAGCTCTTTAATAGCATCAGCATTCAATTCAGAAACTGAGATTAAAATGTATATATTTGAAAATAAGTTTAAACATGTGAAACATTTAGGTATAAAATACAAATGGATTTCTCCAAGACTATAATAAATGGTAAAATTCAACTATTAGATTTTGGCCGTTTGGAGTTGCAATTGGCAGCTTCCTTGTCCAAAATATACTTTACATATTATATGGACATAGTTTTTTTGGTAAACTGAAATTATTTAGAGTTCAGAAATGTATGGTTTTGGAAGTTGTTTGGAATGGATATTAAACTGGAGTATTTTCAAAAAGAAATAAGTTTTGTTTTAATTATGTGAAGTCCGTTATGTAAATATAATATTGCTATTGAATTACTAATGTATTTTCATATGAATTTGTTTCAGAGAATGAATGCTACATACTTTTTGTCCAAAATTGAATATAAAATGACATTAGTAGTAATTTTTGAGAGCAAAAAGACAGACAGAGATACACATATTCATCAGTTTATGTACTCTCTTTGTTCTAAACTGAGGGGCAACAAGATATTTCAAAGTTTGAAACCAGGATCGAAGTGATGTGAAATATTAATTATGTGATTATATGTTGTACAAAATATATATCAGCTATTATTTGTATGTTTTTCAAAGCAAAATAATTAATATATATATTAGATTATTTTCTGCAGAATAAGGAAAACCTGAATTTTAATGCAGTAATTTTGAAATTTTCTATTTACCAAGTGCTTGAAAATAATCATATCATATTTCAGTTAAAATATGGAAGGATTAGGAATTAATTAGCTTTTATGGGACACTTTTCTATGTTATCAATAAATTTTTCACTTGAAAATATAAAACAAACTTATATACATAAACATATTTAGATGTTTTGAATTTTAGTTATTCTTGTTTGTGTTAGTGTGTGCTTATAATAACTTTATTTAAGTAAAAAATTATAGTTCATAGTAACTTGCTAATGAAGAATAATCAGAACCTCTTATTAAATCTTATTGACAATGTGTGATTTGTTATGAAAGAAAAATATTGAAATCAAAAGTAAAATTAATCTTTAAAAAGTTGATTAAGTGCTGAATTTCTTTTGATAGCGGAGACATGTTTGTCATCATATATTATATATGGAATATAATTTTCAAATTTTTTCTTTTGTTTTTAACTTAGATCTGTTTATTAATTATTAAATAATTTAAAATTTAAAACATTTAAGTATGTGCTAAAAAGTCAAAATGTGTATTATTTGTTAAACTTTTATTTATTGTGATGCATTGTATATTACAGATGCATCCTAAAGTATCACTGTATATAAATTTTTATATATGAGCTGAAAATCTATTAAGCTTTGCTTAAAATTGTGCATAATTAAATGTATATAAAGGTGTTATATTTGATGTATAAAATAAATAAATGGATAAAACCTATAAAATGTTATGTATATGTTCATGTAAAGTCTGTGAAATTAATTTTTATAAATAAAATTGTCTTTAAGAGAAGTATGAAAATATTTAATGTTGAGAATAATGAAGAGCTTTTTATATCTTCATACATATTTCTGTTTAAAATATTTGTATAGGAAGACATAAGAATATAAAATTTCCTTTTTAAAATCTTTGACCTCATTATTATGTAGTATCTTTTTCTTCTTTTCCCTTCCTTTCTTTTGGTTGTATTTTCTCTTAAAACTAGTTTGAATTGAATAATGTGTAACATCACATATCCCCCCTAGCTTTTTAACACAAGGTTCTGAAAATTTTAAAAATATTTTCCTAATTTTTCATTTTTTATACTGTACAGTTCAAACATGTGTATCAGGCACTGCTGCATAAAGAGCCAGCATTGGTCAATCATGAGGGTGTACTTCTTCCTGTTGAAGGATTTCCCATAAAGATGGTTATCTTCATGGAACCTTCAACAACCAACCAGATCTTGAAAAGGCCCTCATGGACTTCTTTGCATCCAAGACTCCTATGTTTTACTGTGATGGCATCACACACCTAGTAGCCACTCATTGGCAAAAGGCACTGAATGCCGACGGTGATTACTTTGAGGATTAGGAGGGATTATTATTTGTTTTCTTACTTTTTCTTTCTGACTGTCCAAAATGGCAAGAACTTTTTTGGTTTTTGGTTACCTTGTACAAAGTTCTTCTCTCTGAGAGTTAGTTTATTGGTAAATTATGAAATACCACTGTTTTATCATTTTAATTTTTATTGTGTGTATTCAATTTGTATTTGCATTAGCATTTCATACATTTTATTTTCCTTTGCATTAATGATTAGAAACGTATTTTGTGCAGATTCTTTATTAAGCAACTGAGTGGATCAAGTGTTCTCACACTTAAGGAACTTTCCAAACATGTAATTTCACCTTACTTCTGTTATTTACATTTTAGTTAGTTTCATCTTTGTAAAAGAAAATTCATTTATCTCTGAGATGTCTGAAAACCATTTGTTTTACAAAATGACATAAAGCATGTATGACACATTTTTATTTACATTAAAAATTATAAAAAATACATAATTGTATTCAGTAACTGCATATTTACATAGCAAAGCTGCATTGTTTATAGTACATGCAATTATTCTTTTGAAACTGAATATTTATTTAGCAGAAAAGATGGCTGTATAGTGTTTGCTACTAGTATGCTTCAATAACATTATTTATACAATAGCAAAATGAACTTCTTATTGTATTTAATGCCTGTAATATAAAAAAAAATAATTATATTTGATTCCTTTTATTACATTAACTTCATGAAAGATTAGTAAGTGCTTTACATACCTCCATGCATATATTAGTAACGAAATTCAACATGTATTTCTAAAGAGAATATTTTGAACATAAGAACCTAGGCTGTGTATAAAAATGTTACTATGATACATCTTTGTTTTTTGCTTAAAAATATACTTTTTTAGGAATATAATTCCAAACATCATTACAAAAAAAAAAAAAAAAAAAATCTGTTGGAAATTGTTTTTTAAATACATGAAACAGTATCATAATTGTATCAGTAAGCATTAAAAATATTGCTAGGTAAAAAAAAAAAAGTACATTGAATGTTGGTTTTACAACTGAAACTGTAGGAGAAGTATTTCAAAAATACTTATAATAATTGCAATCAGTTATTTTAAATAAATTTATTTGAACAAAATGACAGATCGCTAAATCAGTGGTTCTCAACTTGTTTTGGCCTATGCACCCCTTTCACCAGTGCTAGAACACCATCCCTTCCTTCTTTTCGAAACCTGAAAAATATATACAATGGTACATAGAATTTACCTACCTAGAATGGTATTTAGAATAAGCCCAACTTATGTACTTCTTGTATGCTTGGTATACTTGTTGTTAAGATGTAAAAATTTTTGTATGGCACTCGAGTTTGATAGTTTGTATGGTACAGGACTGTACATGCTATCCTTGTTTACCTCTTTCGAGAAAATGCTAATACTAATTTTGCATAAAAACACAATAATAAATATATGGTAACATCTGATGCCAAATCTTTGATAAACTAATGGATGTTAAAAATTTTACAGAGAATTATCATCTTAACAAAGCTCAAACAAGCTGTAACAGTATTGTTTAGAATGACCAAACAATGTTACATATCTGAAACATCCTGAGCAGAAAGAAGAAATTAAGTTCTTTGGATAGATTTTTAATAAATATTAGATCTGGTGATTCTGAAACAGGTCCAAGTAGGGACCTGATAAAAGAAAAGAAATAAATAAATTTGTTAAATCTTCTTTTATATACAGTACACAGAACAAAGTCCAAGATCCACAAACATTAGGACTGTGGTGATTCTGAATTTTGGAAATTTCCAAATTTTAGATTGCAAGTTTAAATCTAGTAAGATGACATGACAGCACTGGGATTTCATTTATTGTTTAAGTCAGGTAGAAAAATGTTAAGCCCTCTCTTTACAGCATCAGAGCAGGTGCAACTGGTGTGGCTACAACCAGATGTAAGAATTCAGGGGTGGCAACACTTTTAGAAGTTATAGGAGCACCAACCAACAAAAATCAGGGATGGTTGAATTTTTAAAATTTAAGAAAAGTGCTCGGCAGCAGAATTTATTACCCGCAAAGATTGCTGCAGTCAGCAAAATGTGTAGCCCTGGTCTCCCCCCTCTTATCACCACTCAAGGGTCTAAAGTGTGAGCTTGTCCAATATCAATACAACATTAATCAATGCATTGTTACTGGCCACTGTGCTATTCCCTAGCCAGCAGGTGTTTAAGAGTGACATGCAGGAATTTCAATCAGTCCACTGAAAAATCACATAATGGCACACCTGCTTCCTTTTGTTACTATATTTTCTTCCTAGACTTTGTAAAGGAAAATTTTCTTTAATTTATTTATTTTTGGGGAGAAGGGATTCTGAATATTGGATACCTGGATTTTGCACTTTGTACTGTAAATTTCACCCTCTCTATTTGTATTTTAATACTGAGCAGTATTATAATAATAGCAATAGGATTTTTTTAAATATAAGAACAGATTAATTATTTTCCCTTTATTTCTTATTAAAAAAGTTCATCAGGTGTACATCTAGTTGGTTAAAGACCAAAGATCTGTAACAGATTGATGACATATATCTTAGTACCACAGTATATACATTTATTTAGATTTAGATTATAGATGAAGATGGAAAATGATTTAGGAGAGATAGGAATGGATTTAGATAAAGATGAAAAACGTTTCTAATATTCATAAAGTTAAAGATTGACCACCTCCTTCTACCCCAAAACCATGAAACTCCATTCCGGGAGAATTCCCTCCCTGGTTAAGAACCGCTGCTCTAAATGTTAATTGAAGTCTGCATGCATTTTTTTTCCCACATTGTTATGTCAGGCAGTTACTACTCAAATTAAGCACAATTCTTTAAGGATTATTGTTAGTTTATAAATAATAGTAATCTCTATCTTGTATTGGTGGAAATAGTGAAATATCAATGTTTGTTCAGAGGATTTATTAGAATAATTTATGTAAAAGCTCACTCAAGAATCTCTTACATGTAACTAAAAAAAAAATTTGTTTAACTAAAAGGAATTATAAAATTTTAATTTTTAGAACTTCCTTTTAAAATTTGCATTAATTAAACATAATATGCAATACTAACTTTAACATTATTATGTTAAAAGATAAGGTGAAAGTATATCCAGCATAGAAGCCATAAAGTTTTACCCCAATCTAAGTCATTTCTCATTATCACCATATCAACCAGTTACAACCGTTCATTGCTTTTCAGTCAACTGTTTTCCATTTACTCATTCAAGATAATATGCAATATTTAATGTAATATTTGCATTTTTTCTTGTACAAAAATATATATTTTAAAGTACAGTTAACCCTTGAACAACTGGAGGTTAGGAGCAGTGGCAGCCAGTACTGATGAAAATCCACATATAACTTTTGATTCTAGAGAAGCTGAACTATGGCACCATGCTGTTGACTAGAAATATTAACAATCAGTTAATATATATTTTGTTTTATTAATATTATCTCCTATATTATATTTTTATGCAGTAAAAAAAGATAGAAACAGTATTCTTATATACAGTAGGCATTGCTTAATGTAATTGGGTTTGTTCATGATTATTTTGATAACAATAAGGATAAAAAAAATATCAGTGGAATGTAACTAATTTAATATAACCACAAAAACTTAGTTTCACAGCATTTTTAATTAGGGATAATAGTCATTAATAATTGATAGTCTGTAAATGGAGCTGGTCACAGAGGTAAACAGTTAGACTTTATCCCTTAGCCTCAGATCATAACGCCTTTTGCTAAAATTCATGATAAAAATCATTAAACAGAATAAAATGAGTGTTTTCTGAACAGGATATTTGTAAAAATGGACATCAAAACAACTGAAGAAATATTTTGTGGCAAAAAAGCAATGTTATCTAGAATTCCACTGCATTACACAGTTTATTCCAGTCAGTCTTAGTTATTTTGTTAATGTTTGCCTTAAATCGAAATCAAGCTGCTTAGTGACTTACTTGGCGATATTCCTATGCCATTTGACAATTTCTGTATTCTAATTCTATCTTATTTGGCTTCTTTACTTCAGATTAAAATATTTTGATAACATTAACTGAATTATTGATCACAATAAGCGATAAATTTTTCATGGTTTCGTATACAAATAGGCAGGACTTCGATAATTTGATAACAATTAATTCATCTTACAGAGTCTTAGGAGAGAATTTTTACAACCATTTTGAAAGATGTTTGTAAGTGATAATTAGTGAAAAGTGGCAGTACAACTAGCATATCACAACTTGCTTTCTTTAAAATATCATTTGTATATTGAGAGAAATTTAGATTAAATTTTTTGCTTGATTTTATGTGGTCTGTACCCGTTATTACAGGCTCAAAACTATACAATAAGAAGAGTAATATTTTCTTTACATTTTCTGATATATTTTAGTGAGGAGGGGGACTTTACATGCAAGTAAAACTTCGTAATACAAAACTGCACCGTTCAAGGATCAACTGTATAAATTTTAAACCATGCTATAAATAGCTGGATTTAAGAATTATTTTTATATTTGATCGTGGTTGATAACAAAGACTTGGTGTTCACTTTGTTTTAATGTGATGTTTTTGCCGTCATATTCATCCTTCCCTGGAAAGTGTCCATGACATGTAGAAGTCCACATTCTTTCGCCAGCCGTTTAAATATGAAATCGGGGAGTAGTCTAGAAAAGAAAAAACATTTTTTAGATTACATTTAAATGTTTCAAGTTTCATTAAACTCTGCTGTTCGAAAAGCATGTGAAAAAGTTACATGCATGAAACTTGCAATAATTACATTTGTTTAAAATATGCATTAGCATTTCTGTGTACAATGCAGAATAATGTAGTTTGTATTGTAGTGCAAATGGGGTTAAAGCATGTGTTGACTTTTTGGCATGAATCACATTGAGCAAAGAAGCGTGTATTTCTTTGATCAAAAACAGATTTCTGTCACGCAATGAACCTTATTGGTTAGATTTTTAACCCTCTGGCTTCACTGTTGTCTTTTATTCAGATGGTTTTCAATCTTCCAGCAGTGGCGTAAGTAGAGCTCGTGGGCCCCTAAGCAAAAAATATTTCTGAGTTTTCATTCCCAAAGAATTACAGCACTTTTTTAAAAAAAAAGGTCAAAGGTTTTTCACAGATAATGATTTTGCTATAGACTGGATAAATTGTAAGATTTATTTATGTTAATTGACCAGTTATTTTATGGTCCGAAACCGTACTGTCACTTCTCTTTTTTCCCTTTCTTGCCAGAATGCAAATTAGCTCTCGTGTATTTAAGCGAGGGTTTGAGATTGTTTAGACAGAGCATGTTCTGCCTGCTGAAGACCACATTACTAGTTTTTATTCTAAGTTAAGCTGTCCTATCTATGATGTTGCTTTATTCTTCTCGATAGTGCTGTCATGCCAGTGTAAGCTGAAGAGCCAACTTCCGCGTTTAAATATTTCTGCATAGGCTTTGGCTGATAAATACTTAGGTTTAGTTTTAATTTAAAATTCTACTTATGAATTCATGCCATAAATGCTGGCTGATTTGCAAGCACCAGATGTACTTTCTGTTCAACTTACTTAGTTTTAAATAAAATGGTCTTTCACCTCTTTTATTTAAGGTCTGTTTCATCTTAGACATATCGATAAGTCGTTTGCACGTTTATTGGAGGATATGCCACAAGTTACATTTAATTACAGGCACATATTCTACAAATTTATTAAGCAATATAAACACATGCTTGTAAATTACCAAGGTGGAAAATGCTTTATAAAATTTTTCTGAAAAAAAACTTATTGAGTTTTTTCTTTTCTGTTTCTCTGTATTTAGGTCAACAAAGAGTGAAAATCGGAGCCTCTTTGTTCGTTGTCTCTGTTGGAGTTTCCTCGGGTGGTTTTTAATTTGCTTTGGGGTCAGAATTTTATGGCATTTTCCTTTCATCAGGGATGTATCGCAGATACTTAAATGAATTTGTAGAAGAAAGAAGCATGCCATGTAAAATACAGAATTAAAAGAAAACATGCAAAATATAGGGTTGAGAGAAGAAGTCCTTAGCAGATTTTACATAAAATATTATCTTGTATGAATTTCGCACCGTTCTAAGGTTTATGTGGTGAAGTGGTCTTGTCAGGGTACGCCGTCTTCCAGGCGAACAGTTGCTCCTCCTCTTCTGTACAGCAGGTCACACACAGGCTGGTGGCAGCAGTATTATGTTTTGGGGGGCGGTTCTGGTACTAGTTCAGATGATGATTTGCCTAAAACTAAAGGAGATCAAACAATCCGCAAACGGAATCAAAGAACAAATTTTAAGAAAATTAGTAATCAGACTGAAATCTCACCACAAATGCCACTATTTCATGAAACCACTTCTAGTGACCAATGCTACGAATGTAGTAATCAGTGAACAGTCGGATAATCCGAATAATGATAATATGGATACTAGCCCTCCGGCTAATGAAAACTCAGATAAAACTAACATGAATAATCAAACGCAAAACACCAGTGACGTTAAAAGAGACAAAAATGACCTGGAAGGAAATTAACACTATATTTCATCAACAAAAACTCAAGTTTTACGGCGTGCAGATACCAGATGGTATAAAGGTTATGGCTGAAACCCCCCAACGACTATAGAGCGATAGTCAAAATTCTCAAAGATTAAAGGGATTGAACACAACTCGTATATCCTACCAGAGGATAGATATTTAAAAGTTGTCTTAAGAGGTCACACGAGTAAAACTGATATTGATAACATAAAGGTTGACTTAGAAAGTCTGAACTATCAAATTAAGGATATTAAACAAATGACTAGAAGGCAAAATGGGGAGGTTACCAAAATACCATTATTCTTAATTTCGCTTCCAAAAACGGAAGAGTCCAAGAAAATATTTAATCAACGCTTCCTTTGCGATATGAAGGTAAAATTTAAAGAGTATTTAGGTAGTCAAGGACCACTGCAATGTTTTCGTTGTCTGGGGTTCAATCATACCCAAGCCGGTTGCAATTACGCCTCCAAATGTGTTAGATGTGGTAATGAACATTATGTTAAAGACTCTCCTGATCGTAATAACAATGATAAACCATTGTTTTGTGTAAACTGCGGAGGTTCTCACACTTCCAGTTTTAGGGGGTGTGAGAAGTTTCCTAAGCGTAAACCCGAAAAAGTAAATACCTACTCTAGCCGAATTATCGAAAATAAATCGTACTCGCAGGCCCTTTCTACGGGTCTTTACTCTGATATTTTAAGTGAAGCAAAGAAGGTCTTCACTGATTTAGCGGAACTCGTTTCCGTCATCAACAGTGCTGGGTTTCAAATTTCTCAGCAAGTTAAAGTAATTAAGCAAACCAGTCAAGAAATAGGTAAAAAACTAATACTGATAATGGGACAATTTTTAGACCCTTAAGAGCTCCTATTAAAGTGATGACTTGGAACGCGTGCAACGTTCAATACAAAATCCCGGAGCTTGTGGACTTTTTAATGAATTACGATATCGACGATCATGATAACTGAAACTTATGCTACGTCGAGTCTAAGACTGACTATCCCAAATTATAGATGTTATATATGTGATCGTTTGAGTCACCGAGGTGGGGGGTCGCCATTTATGTCTGGAACTCCCTACAGTCCTGTATGATTACTGATGAGCGTCACAATGGACATGAGCTGGTCACTGTGTCAGTACTCCTACCCTACTATGGTGCAGTCTATTTTAATTCTATGTACAACCCACCACAGAATACGCTAGATATCAATTATCTGGCCAAGATCTTAGATACGAACAAGCAAGTTCTTCTTGCGGGGTATCTAAATGCTAAAAATTCAGAGTGGTGCTGTAGAAAAACGAACAGAAATGGACAGAAACTACTAGAATTCATCATCAACAACTACCCGATCAATTTTTACTCCCCGAGCAAATACACGTACTTGCCACATAACCCGCGGAGAGGTGGTATCTTAGACTTATGTCTACCACTTTATTCCCCCTTCAATCTTGGGGTTCTTCAGAAGCTCAATTCTGACCACTGCCCGGTTTTTGCAAACCTAGGCATTAGTAAGGATATCGAGGAGGATCTCATTAATACCACGAATTGGAAATTATTCCATAATCTACTTAATGACTGTCAGACTAGTATGCACCGACTCCAGACGCCACGTGACATTGGCTCTGCTTTTAATCAACTGACCACGGATATTCAAACTGCATATAAAAATGCCACCAGGAAAATACCTAGGCAGCAGATCGCTGACAGGTTGCTAAGGCAGATAAGGGATCTTATCAAGGATAGAAATACGTTAAGAAAAAGGTTTCATATCACGTGGGACCCTAATACTAAAAAGCAGATTAATAGACTAAATAAGGAGATTAAGAAGCAAATTACTCATCACCGTAAAGAGCTTTGGGACGAGAAAATCACAGGCTTTAAAACGAGCCCAGTAACGCGTTCTGGTCGTTTGTGAAAAGATTAAAGAGCAAGCCCACGGTTAATAAGCCAATTTGTGTGGAGCACCGAGTTGCTCTTAATAATAAGGACAAGACTAATATTTTTGCTGATCATATTGAGAAGCAATTCCTCCCTAACAACATTCCTAGTAACCAAGAGTTCTGGACCGAGGTCAGCTCCTATGTTACAGACTGGACAAATTCACCTCCTGTGCAAAATCATCTTGAGCTCACTTCGACCCGAAAAATTTTAGACATTATCAGGAAACTCAGAAACAGGAAGGCGCCTATGTGACAATTCAAATAACGTTGCGCTCAAGTGGCTTCCCTTAAATATCATAACTAGGTACACAGGCATTCTGAACGCATGCCTCTATAACAGTTACTTTCCTAAAACTTGGAAGACCGCCAAGATGGTTGCAATCCTGAAACCGGCTAAAGATCAGACAAAACCTGAAAGGTACAGGCCCTTTAGCCTGCTCCCTAGCATGGGAAAGATTTTAGAACGTATTATCCTTACCAGGATTCAGCCCCATCTCAATAAACTTCCACTAGAGCAATTTGGATTTAGAAAAACCCTTTCTACAACTAAACAGCTGGTGCGGCTAAATGAGTTCATTGGTAGTGCGCTGCACAACAAGTGGTATGTAGCCTTGCTCATGCTAGACAAGGCACAGGCAGTTGACCATGTCTGGCATGAGAGGCTTATTTATAAGCTTATAAGATCTAAAATTCAGCAGAGAGCTGATCCAGATTATTAACTGCTTCCTCATGAATAGGACCTTTTTCGTGCACATGGGCAAAGACTCCTCTGATAACAAGAAAGTGATGGCTGGAGTCCCACATGGGTCTATTTCAGGGCCCGTTTTATATTTGTTCTACGTGTCGGATCTACCTATGGATAACATGGATCAAAACTTTTTTATGGATTGCTATGCGGACGACACAGCACTTGCTGTCAAGTCTGATCGCCAAATTTCGCAATTTCTAAGCTCCAGAGCTTTATGCCACAGTTAGAGATTTGGTGCTCTAAATGGAGAATCGCTATAAATGCTGAGAAATCTAACCTCATTATCATTAAGAAGAAAAGAATGAACACCCATCTTGCTAAACAACTGAAACTTTTCGGGACTGTTGTGCCTATTGTAAACAAGGCCACGTACCTTGATATCAAGTATAGCTCCAACTTTCAGTGGAAAAATCACATAAATTATGTTAGAAGCAAGATGTTGTGGGTAATACAAAGCCTCACTCCCCTTCTTTCTCCGGATTCTAAGCGGGACTTACCACGCAAAAGACATATTTACATTTCGATCATTCGACCCAATTTTGCCTATGCGTCACCTGCCTGGGCTTCTGTCCATAAAACAGAATTAAATAAATTACAGGTAACACAGAACAAGTTACTCGGAATGATGACAGGGCTTACTCCTTTGTTTCAAATCAGACGCTACATAAGGATTTAAAACTCGAGACAGTGGAAGAGTATTTGCATAAAATGAATGCGAATTTCTTCAAAAATGCGCAGGACTGTAATCACATGGGCGACTTAAATGTGTTTAAGTATATTGTTTTTGAGGAAGATTTTAATTATAAACCGCTCGCGGCCCACCTCACTCGGGACTCGAATTTTCCCACTTAATTACTTTCACCGTCTTGTATATATGTTATATTTTTCCTTATGTATTTCATATTGTAAACTTGTATTTCAATTTGTCGTATTTATTGGAATTTGTATTTTATTTTACATTGCATACTGTGTCACATATTGTATATAGCGTCGTATCTAGATATGTTATTCTCATCGTAATTTTAAATTATGTTTTATGTTATTTGCGTTGACTTGTCTTTGTTTTTCTATGTTTCAACGCAAACATACACCATAGTTTACTTCACTGCTCCTGAATCTGGCTTTTCTTCGGCTCTGTGATGCATGGTCACGCCCCTTTTACCACCTTAATGATTTTACCGACTCGTCATGAATGCTTATCGTCATGTGTCCACTGGGCTTTGCTTCAAGAGTCGGACACATCGCGCCTTGCGCGATATTCCGGTAGTACTGGCGCGGATAAGGATAAGGATCATGGACGGTTCTGGGACCCGTAGTTGTGTAGAACAAACCACGAAAGCTGCAGACTATGTGAACGTAACTGCAGATCAGTTGCACCCTTACATGGCGTCTGTCTTCCCAACTGGAAATGGAATCTTCCAGCAGGACAAGGTTCGAATTATGTTGGAATGGTTCGAGGAACATAAATATGAATTCCAATTAACGTCCTGGCCACCTAATTCGCCAGATCTTAACCAGATAGAGCACATTTAGGATGCCCTGGAGTGGCAGCTCAGAGCTTGAACGCCATCATGTCGGAATATCTTGACTTTGTGTGACCACTGCTTAAACATTTGGTACATCCTCTCTCCAGTCATCTATCAAGAACTTGTGGCATTCATGCCAAGGCAAGTTGTACCTGTTTTGCAGGCCAAAGGTCGCGCAACGCATTATTGAGTAGGTGGTCATAATATTTTGGCTCTTCAATGTTTTTTGTCAAATTTTAAATGCTAGGTGGGCATCTTTAAATGAATGTTTTGAACTAAAATTTCGCAGTATTAATTTTAATTTCCTATACATTTATCAGAAATAGATAAAAAAGATCTACGGAAACATTGCAACAGTTTGGGGGAAAGAAATCCAAAGATATATGCATTTAAAGATATTTAAAAAGATAATTTTAAAACTCAAATTCCTTTTTACATTCTACTGTTAATTACATCTAGCGATTCATTTTCTAACTTGTCTTTTGACTTTGCCTGCTGGTGTTGCAAGCGGTGAAAGATCATTTTCCAAAATAAAATTAATTAAGACTTATTTACGTATGAATATGTCACAAAAAAGATTTGTGAAACTTACATTGATAGCGATGGAAACTTATGCATATAAAAGAAAAGATATAAAAGAAACAATTTTATTCATCTAAAATACAGTACAATAAAAAAAATGAGGTGTCAAAAGTTAGTGTTTAATTATTTATTTTTTGTTTTTATATTTGTTGTTTAATTAATTAATTTTTTACACATGCTTAACTAATTTTTTAATTAATTATTTTTGATTAAAATCCAATTTAATTGTTTAAAATAAGGTTTTGTTGTTTCATTTCTTCTAAACTCTCTTCTATCATTTATAGACAATGGAAATAAAAAAAAAAGTTATCTTGAACGGCACTTTTGTGAATTTGTAGCGGTGGGCGCCGAAGAGATTCTTTGCCCTACCATGATGTGTAGTGGAACTTGCTGTTCTGAGCTCTTAATCAATAGCAGAATATGGGGGGACAGCGTTATGAAAATTTCTTGCGTCAGTCGTAGGTGCTTGTTTCATGACTTCCTTATTGTTATTTTTCAATGAATTCTTAAATCAAGTTAGTTAAATTGTTATTTAACCATAACTGACTGTTGCTTTGACGAGTACTGTGCCATCTATCGATACATTCTGGAAGTATTTCTCCTTCTGCTAAGCAAAATTCCTTTAGTATACATTCAAGCCAAATTTTCAATCATTCTGACCGCTGATTCTTACTTTAACAGGTTTTGAAATCGGAATTTAAACTACATTCACCCTGTATAAAAGCTTCGAAATACGTAGTATAGCAATAAAATTAAAAACATCAATATGTTCAATAACAACAATATGTACAGATTCTTCAGTATTTTTTTTTTCTTTTTTATTATTTTACTTATGGATTCCTTTACAGATGCATAAATAACTTTATGCATCTGTAAACGAATAAATAATGATAGCCAATTTTAGCCCCCCGAATTGCCAAAAAATAGGCTATTACCCAGAGTTACTGATGCATACTTACGCCTTCAAAATGATTATCAGCTTCAGTATCCCGGGAACGCAGATCACACCTTCTTTACCTTTTTGGACAGCTGATACAATCTTTTGTGCCACGTATTCTGGTGTCACTGAGACGTTTAACCTACAAAAAAGAAATTCACACAATTTTTTTTTTATTAAAATCCTATCTTTCCTTTTAGAAGCAAATTTAATTTTTTAAATTAGGAATAATACAGTTATTTCGAATGCACACGGAAATGCATGACTAGATTTAAAAGGTAAAACTCTCAAGATTCGATATATTTTAGCTTCGATTGTTAAAAAGAAATTCTATTCTTCCTTTTTTTTTTTTTTTTTTTTTTTTCTGTTATTTCAAATAAGCAGTTCCTAATTTATCTAGGTTTTCCAGTGTCACATAAATGTTGACGAAGTGGGAATATTCTGGAACCACTTAGTTTCAAATACTATACTTAGATGTTTCTAAATCCATTCTAAATTAGACTGCCACAAACTGGAGTTCCAACGTTAACTCATTCAGTTCTGCTGATGATTTTTTGGTAGCATGTTTAAAACGCTTTGCGCTTTCACCACGTCTGAAAATGGACTATGTGTAAAGTACAATGTTTGTTCGTTCGTTCTGGACGAGTATTGCCGCGTCCGATTTAGTAAATTTATTGCGTAGACTCATATTTATGCGCCAGACTTATCTACATAACATAGATAAGTCGTATATGGCGTATAAATAGGAGGTGGAAAATGGTAAGAGGGGGTGACCATCTGTCACAAGGCAAACGAAAGCAAGCAATAAAGCAATGGAGAGGCCTGACAGCGCGGGCTAAATCATAACATAAAATAGAGAAGTTCAAAATACATACAAAACTTAAAATAAGGTACATACAATTAAGTAGTGCATATATGCAGATAAACATAAGATGATACATTTAAAATAAAACAAGCGAAATTTACACAATATACGCAGAAAATATACAAAATACAATTATGAAATAAACTATGTGGGAAAGTTAGAATCGCGGGTGAGGAAAGCCGCGTGCGGACGTAAAGTGTTATCTTCTTCAAGAACTTCGTAGTTGAAAGTTATTTAAATGGTCACAGTTGATTGCACGGTCAAAGAAATTAGCGTTCATCTTGCAGAAATTCCTCAACACTTTCTAATTTTAAGTCTCTATGTAAGGTGTCATTTCAAATGGGCGTTGGTAATAGTACGGAGGAATTTATTCTGAATAATTTGCAACTGCGCGATGTCTTTTTTTGAGGCAGTTGCCCAGCGAGACATAAGAAAAGATGGGCCTTATCATAGCCGTGTAGATATGCCTTTTCTTATTCAAGTCGAGCTTTGAGTAGTTACCAAGCAAGTTATTTAGACTGTTACTAATAGCCACAGACTTCCTTTTATCATTCTTGATGTAATCAGTTTAAGTCAGTGATTTATTAAACGCTACACCGAGGTAAGTCGCCTTTTGCACAATCGGAATTTCTTCGTTGAAAAGGTACAATATTTTAAAAACTAAGGTATTTGGGTGTCTATGTCTAATGACCAGTAGCTGAAAATTATGCGCATTTATTGCAATTCTCCACTTTTGACACCACTCTTCAAGGTTGGGCAATATATTTTGCAGCTTTTGGATCGCATGATCTGGCTTAATGGACGAGACTTGATGGCGAAAGCCGTATCATCGGCACAACCTAAAAAGTGGTTATGGTCTAAGTGCTTTAGGTAAGTCAGAAGCATGGAAGAGATAAATTACGAGCCCTAAAATAGACCCTTGAGGGACATCGGCCCTGATACGCTTCTTGTCTGAGGAGCCATTTCCGATATTAACGTATTCCTGTCTTGAATGAAGGATCTAAGGAGAAGAATCATTTCTCTACTAAAATTCAGCTGGATGAATTTAAAAATGAGTCCCTCGTGCCAAACGCGGTCGAAGGCTTTCGCTACCATTTATATGCAGTAGAATACAAAAGATGTTATACTGGGGATAAAATACTTGGAATCGAGGTTTTGAAAATTACATAATACATGGAAAGAGAGTGAGTGAATTTAAATAACATTGAATGAAGTTAACTAAGTTAATTTGAGTGATTTGTCTCGGTAGCTAAACTGAGTTTAAGAAGTACAGCCAAATAAATAATTTCAGGAGAGTTTCTCAATAATTTTTAAGACTATTTTATTAGTCTAATTATGCAGCTACTTACTCGTTTATTTTTGTGCGATTATGGATTATTGATGTCACACTACACAATCAAAGCAGAAGCAAAAGACCTATATAGGACGGATCTATAGGATGGAAAACACCATGGTGCCATAAATCAGAAAACGATTGTTTTTTGTAATAAAGTGTTAATGTATGATTAGGAGGCTAACTTTTCAGATATTAAATTTAAAATAAGCTGGTGTAATGGAAGAAAAAGTTTCGTATCCAGAAATGACGCAAAACAAATAAAACGCACATTGTCTGGACTTCCAGGTCATTTTTCTTAACACATTTGTTTTTTAAGTTTGTGATAAAATTTTGTTCTTTAGAAATAAAGATTAGAAACAGGTAAACGCGTTCCTGCTAATCGACGACTTAATAAGAGCTTTTATTTACAATAGTGTGTGTGTGTGTGTGTATTTAATTATGGCAAAGCACACTAGGGCTATCTGCCTAAGGGGAGGGATGCCTTCGTGGAGGACTTTCTAAGGGAAACTGGCTCGTATACACGTTACACATGGGGAAAACCACGAAAACACCCATGCAGCCAGCCCGTTCGCGGGATTCGAACCTCGGGCCGAACTACCAGTGTTCAGCGACTTTACCGCTCGGCCGCTGGTGGGCTTTACAATAGTGTAAAAGCGTTCAGCAGTTCATAAAATAAGCAAAGCAACAACTTTGGCGTAGATTTAGTCAAGAACTCAATCGATATCAAGGGCAAATAAGTACAAGTCTCTTTTCATCAGGAGCAAATGATAAAGAGGAACCTGTAGCTGTTCATCATCGAAATCGATTGAGTTCTTGACTAAATTCGCGCCAAACACAAGGTTGTTGTTTTGCTTATTTTATATTTCACTTTGGCGTATGTCTCTTCTGTTTTGATTTTTTATCAGGAGTTGTTTTACCTTTACTCGCTAATAACGTTTTACAATACACCTAACTTTATATCGCAAGTGTGGTAAAAAAAAATAAATTCCCGAAACCTTCTATAATAAAGCTACTGCAAAATTCATAGCTGTACTTTCGTTGACGTGAATGAGGATATGTAAGTTATTGCATAAAGGCCTGAAGCCATAGTATTTGACATTATCCATTTGCTTTTAGTGCTTTCTTGGTGTATATAGTTAGGACATCCAGCTACGTAATCGGAATCTTAGCAAGGACATTGTTGTTTTTCCGTATTTCCTGCTCCGAAAAAAAAAAAAAAAAAAAAAAGTGCAGTCTCTATAAATTTTAATTTTATTTAACAGTAAGCATTCATTTCTATGAACTGGTAACAAGAGCTATTTAAGAAAGGAAGCCTTATTAATACAGTCTGAAACCCTAGGTACAGCATTATTTCAGGAATACACATGAAATGTTTATGATCCGTGAGGAGAAATTTGTGATATCTGGTTCTTTTTATATATGAGCTATTTAGTAGCTCTGTTCAACAGTGTAGAATGGTTGATCAAAACATCAGTACTCGCGTATTCGTCGACATAATATTACTTTCTAAAAAATTCGGTGACAATTTTTGGCAAGCCAATAAAGCTTGACACATCTCCAAGTAACTGCGGTAGTAAAAACTATAACTGTTAAGTTTTGATTTCAAATAGAGGTAAATTCTACGCTCTCAGTGTCTTCAGATGGCCTAAAATACGCATAACGAATTATCGAGAGTGCCGAGCCATAAGGTCAGATTATAGGATTTTTACAGCATCTGATTTTTCATTTAAAAGAGGTTGAATGTTAGTATGGGAATAGTAAATGTCTTTGAAATCCTTCTGAAGAAACGCTTCGATATTTCACTGACTTCAGCGTCAGATTTAAATGGCATTAAACATTAGCTGTTTCTAATAATTACACGTTCTTTATGTTTCTTCCTCTTTTCTTCTAAAAACTAATAAACAGATTTAACGCTTCTTTTTAAAATTATTATTAGTGTCACCGTGTACAATGTTGTTGCTGTGTTTCAAGCGATAATAATAAAACAATAAAGATCCTAAGCAGTAAAACTGGGTAACAATGAAACCTTTTTCACTTTTGATAATACTCTTCTCTATCTTTTATTGACATATTTTATTGCATATAAGGCAATAAAATATGTTAAGTTATTGATCCTTAATAATAATTGAAACTGTTGATTTAATTATCCTTTATTTATTATAAGGGATATTTTGACGCTCGATAGCTTTGACACAGCAGCATAGATCCTAACAGCAGTGGAAGCAGAAAGCGGTCTTCCTCGCAAAATGGCGCGAGTTTTCTATTTATAGGAGCGGTTCCGTAATAGGCTAGAATGTTCTCGAAAGTACTGGTCTAGGAGGAAGATCCTGAAATTGCTAAAAGTTAAATTAAAGGTTGCTTGTTCGCATAGAGCAAGGCCATCGTGTTTTTTATATTTTACATCTGAACTTTTTATTTTTATATTTTTATAAGTATATATATTAAATGCCTTGTTCCAAAAATTTATATTTATATATATATATATACATAGAGATAAATATCAAATTCCATAATACTGTACTTTACTGGTAAGTTTGGAAATTATAACTCAAACAAAATAATGAAGAATTGTGCTCAATTATGAATCATAAGTTACAGAAATATTACTCACGGTTCTTTTGTCCCACTAAAAAGCCCAGAAGATATTAAAGTTGGGCAAACAGTGGTAATTTTTACGCCATCCAGACCTTCTTTAAACAGCTCTAGACTCAGAGTCTCGGCGAATCCAACTGCAGCAAATTTGCTTGCAACATAATCTGTCAGTTTTGCTAATCCAACAAAACCTACGAAGCTGGCCACTGACACAATATGGCCTTGGTTATCTATCACCATAGCTGGTAGAAAGGCCTTGCACATCTGAAAATAAAAAATAAGTACGTATATTTCTCAAACTTGTAAAAACCGAACTATGTTATTAGAATTTATGAAAGGTCCTTAAACTATATACCTCGGAACCGCGGAATTTCGCAAATCAAAACAAAAGTTCAGAAAGAAAATTATAATTTACTCAAACTAGTTGGCTAGTATTTATTAATTAAAAAATATAAAGATACATTAACTATTAGTTTTAAAACTTAACACGTGGTCATCATATATCAAAAAGAACGATGTGCAATGTTTTGCGAAACTAAACATTTTTCTAATGGAAAATGAATTGAATTCAGACGATAGTGTTAAAAATTATAATGAAATACATTTTTCAATTCAAGAAAATTATCAGAAATTTTTTCCTGAAGAAAAAGCTAAGTCAACCTGGATAAAAAATCCATTCGAGACCTACTATAAATCAGAAGGCTTGCCAATGAAGGAAAGGAAATAACTTACAGATATATCAACAGATTCGACATAAAAGCTAAATTTAAGCAACAATAGGTCTTAAATTTTTGGTTTCAAAGAATACCTAGAAGTTTCTCATGCAGTTATAAACATTTTAATACCATTCGGAACAACGTATTCAAGCGAATAATCTTTCTCAACGTATGTAGTAACAAAAACAAAATATAGAAATCATGAAATAATGAAATGCAGAATACGAAATGTGACTATGCAGATTAACATCAATAGAGGTAAACTTCGACACTTTGTGTAAAAATAAAAATGTGGGTCATTAAATTATAATGCAAGGGTAGGTGACATTTGGAGCACGAGTTAATGTTACTAATGAGTAAATTACATTAATTTTTTATTAAAATTTATTCATAAAAATATAATACTTTTCTTTGATTCATAAAAATATAATATTTTTCTGGCAACTAAAATTGTTCAATCATGAGCAACATCCCGCCTAATAGTGGAAAGGTGTTTTCACTCTGTTTGAAGCGCAAGAAACTACTTTGTCCCGAATGGTGACATGCTATCATTCCATGCATTTCTCTGTATAAAGTACGCTAGTTTCCTGTAATAACCGAATACAATTATTTCAAGTTTTACGCACGTGGGTTTGATTGCTTGGGCTTTGGTAAAGTACACAAGAGCTATATGCTTGAGGCAAAAGTTGCCTTTTTGAATGACTATCTAAAGGAAACTGTCTAATTTCCAAGTTGGAATCATGAAGAATTGGTTCTACATGGTTCTTACTGTTAAAATTTAAATTATTCGTGGGTTAAATAAATGACATAGTCCAGGTTGAACAATAAAATATGTTGGGAATATTTTGGTCACATGGAAACGAGCAACCACAGTAATGCACACCAGATAAGGAAAACACGACAGCAGCACTTCTGCTGCCAACTAACATTAAGTAAATGAATTGTATCATTAAATGAACACATATTAAGTTATACTAGGAAACACAATGTTTACATAGAAATAATTAAGAAAAACTAGTATCTAGGCTTCTTTCTGGAGTTTTAAGTCAAGTTTCTACACAGTTAGAACCACAATGGCTTTATGGTCAGTCACAAACTTCGAAGGAGATCATTTTTACATACAAGTCCTGACTATAGTTCATGTCACGTAAGAAATTTTTTCGAGGTCTGCTTAGTTAGGAGATCAGCGCTGGATGGCACATGATCAAATGCAATCACATTTTCTTTCACTAGGTCTCTCAGAAAATGAAATTTAATATCGATGTGCTTACTTCTTTCAGAAGTAACATGGTTCTTGGCTAGGAATATTGCTCCCTGGTTGTCGACTAGCACTTTTTGAGGTGAAGCAGCTAATTTACTACAGATTTCCTTTATCAAATTTTTAATCCATAGTATTTCCTTGGCAGTGTGACACATCGCCACATACTCTGCTTCTGTAGACGATAAAGCTGTTGTGGGTTGCTTCTTGCTCGACCATGAAATTGGAGCACCTGCGAGTAGCATTATATAACCACTGTAAGATTTACGGTCAGTTCTATCACCTCCCCAGTCAGCATCTGAGTAGACTTGAAGTGGTTCATCTGTCTTCTGGAATCTGAACTTTCTGTGTCGTGTTCCCTTTATTTATCTTAGAATGTGCTTCACACCTCTCCAGTGTTTTTCAGTGTGTTTTTCATTAAACTGGCTCATGTAGGTGGAAGTATAAGCCATGTCTGGGCGAGTACCACAAGTTAGATAAAGGAGACTTTCTATAGCTTGTCTGTAAGGGATTTCCTTGCTGTTTTCTTTGATTTCCTCCCGCTGCTGTTCATCTGCCTTCTTATATTTTATGCTGGGGTCCAATGGCATGGGTGCACATTTTGCTTCAGTCATTTTAAATGCTTCCAGGATCTCTGATGCATAAACGATTTGATCTAGTGTGTATGATCCATTTTCTTCTTTGCATATTTGCATGGATAAGATCTGGTTTGCAGGACCCAGGTCCTTGACATTGAACCTTTTCTTGACACTTTCCTTGAATTCATTTATCTCTGGCATATTTCCAACTATCAGGAGGTCATCAACATAAACTCCAATTATGATGTTCTTCTCATGACAAAAGTAAATACAAGGGTCTGCACTTGATCTTTTCAATCCATACTTCATCAGGAAGTCGTTCAAGCAAGTATTCCATGCACGTCCTGATTGTCGGAGACCATAAATGCTTTTATTCAGGTGGCAGACAAGGTGTTCTTTCCCTTTCTCAATGCAGCCTTCTGCCTGTGCCATATATATGTCCTCTTTTAGAATTCCATTAAGGTATGGAGCTGTCACATCCATTTGGTAAATCTCTAGCTTTATCTTTGCAGCTACGGCAAGCAGTAACCTTATAGATTTAAGTTTGGTGACTAGTGAAAAGGTGTCTTGAAAGTTCACTCCGGGTATTTGCAGATAGCCTTTTGCCACCAATCTGGCTTTGAAATTTGCTCAGTGCCCAATCTCGTCTTTTTTCTTACGAAACAACCATCTGGATGGTATTACCTTGGCTCCTGGAGGTTTAATAGTTAGTTCCCATGTTTGAGCTTGAGTGAACTTCTGAATTTCTTCCTCCATGGCTTTTAACCACATGTCAGCTTCGTGTGATTTCACGACATCTTTTAGAGTTACTGGGTCCTTTTCTTCAGATTGTTGTATCTCTTGGGCATTGTACAGATAAACATCTTTGAAACGTTTAGGAATTCTGGTGTTTCTTTTTCACCTCTCTCACTCCGATGGGTAAGATTTCTGGCTGCTGCCTTCGACTTCAGGGTATAGGTTATTAACAACGTCTTGTATCTGTATAACTGATTATCCTTCATCTTGGTAATCTGGAGTATTTTCAAGGCTGTAGGTCTGGACATCTTTCAGAATTTTGGTCAATCAGAATCTGTATTTAGACGTTTGGGTTTCATCCAAGTCATTTACATCCAGAAGTTATGTGACCTAGAGATGAGTCACGAGCTTCTGTCTCAGGTAGGTCCAAGGGATATTCTGATTCAAAGTCTTCAATTTTAAGAGTAGCTTCTTCTGCAGGATTGTCACACTTGCTTAGTTTTAAAGCGAAAACATTTTCTTCAAAAATGACAGCTCTGCTGACAAAAAAAATGTCTCTTCTTCAGGTCATACAATTTGTAGCCCTTAACTCCTTTAGGTCAGCCCACAAAAACACATTCTGTAGCTTTAGGATCAAGCTTGCTTTCTCTTGAGTGTGAGCGAACATGACTCCAGGCTCTGCATCCGAAAGCTCTGACCTGGTCTCTTTCGCTTCTAGATCCTGACCATCTTTCCTCTGGAATTTATCGCCATCAATTGCCATAGATGGGCGCTTGTTGTGGAGATACGCCGCAGTGACCATTGCTTCAGCCCAGAACCTATGATCTGCTCCGGACTCTATAAGTAAGCATCTTGTCGTGTTTATCAATATTTGGTTCAGTCTTTCTGCCAGACCATTTTGTTGGGGTGTGTCAGGTACAGTTAGTAGCCTTTGGTCCCATGCGTAGCGGGGTACTTGTCAAACTTTTCACTTATATATTCCCCACCATTGTCATTTCTCAGGAATTTGATTTTCTGTTTTGGAGATTTTCTACCATGCAACGGTACTCCTCAAATTTTTCTAGTACTTCACTTTTGGCTTTCGTAGAGAATGCCGTGGTATAGTGAGAAAATTCATTCGTGAAAGTCACAAAGTAATTTGAGCCTCCAAAGGAAGGGGGAGAAATTTTAACAACGACATCTGAATGTATAACTTCTAGGATGTCTTTAGATTTTGTACTAGCGGCCTTTGGAAATTTCTTGCTTTTCGTTTTTCCCTGGATACAGACTTGGCAAGGTGCATTTACTAATATTGTTGATTTCAGATTTCTGCCGATGGGGATAATATTTTTTTGCTGTACAAGAGTGTAAATAACCAAGTCTACGATGCAACAAGTCGGCACTTTCAGTTTTCGTAACGTTGGCAGTTGTCATCTTTTCTTCTTTTATGTACAGTCTTCCTGTTTTCTCACCAGATAGATAGATATTCCATTCTTACCAATCACTTTGGCTTCTCTTGCAGCAAGTTCCACTTTTAAGCCTCTTTCTTCAATTATACCAATGGATAATACATTTCCTCCTAGTTCTGGAACATAAGACATTTTCAATAGTGATGTTTTTTTCTCCATCTTCTTCTCCAACAGAAAATGAAATATTTCCAAGTCCAGTGACCTTTATTCTTTCTGAATTAGCAGCTTCAACTTCAGATGTGTACTTCTTAAAGTATGAGAATTTTCTTTTATCAGAGGTCATATGTTCTGTAGCTCCACTGTCTAAAATCCACAGATTACTTTTCCTTGATTTTTCTTCGTTTTCCAGAAGTTCAATGTTTGTCTTGAGGTCAACTGCAGTTTTGGCACTGTTTTGGTTCTGATATTTGGCTTCTTCCCAATTTTTAGAGATGTTCCCCCATTGGCCACAGCTGAAGCATCTAGTATTTCTTTCTCTGTTAGTTTTTTCTTCATTTGACCTTTTAGCTGCATACTTCTTCATCGGTTT